CACTTTCCTTAGAAAACAGCACCCTCACGGGCTGCGCCTTGTGGGGCGAGGAGTGGTAGTGGAAAATCGCTTCCAGCCCAAGACTCAAATCCCACCCCTGACGTAGCCAGAGCTGACGCGAACTAGAGCTGCCGGCCGGTCAACTCTGATGGTGTCCATTAAGCTTTGAACGCCAGTTCGGTTACTTGAGCACCGAGTGCCGTGCCGCGCAGATTCCACCCACCACACCCCACCCCACCCACAAGACACAACCCCAGAGAATGCCGCCCCAAAGGGAATGACCTGGCTGCATGCTCCCATGCTCCCCCCCACCCACCTGCCCCCACACTTCACCCACATGCCTCTTACCTCTACTTACCTCCACTTACCACGGCCATGCAGAGCGCCATGATGCTGAGGCTGCTGGGAAGTGGGAAAGGACAAAGGGAGAGAGGAGGAGGTGAATGAGAGAGGTGGTGCCAAGGCGTGAGATGACACACCTTGAGGAGCCAAGCCCACCCCCATACTCTCCCTAACAACATCAGTCACAGTCCGCTGCAGTGCTGCCTCCTTCCCATCCTAGTGTGCCCTCTCTTGCAGGACTGAGGTGAGGGAAGGACGGGAAGAGAGGAGGTAGAGCGGAGGGTAATGAGAAAAAGCAGAGTAATGAGAGAAAGGAGGTAAGAACAAAGCGTGATGAAAGTGCATGATGAGTGCATGAATGATGTGCTGCCATGGCACACCCAAGAGAGCTCATACCAACTGAACAAAACAGACAAGACCAAATACCTGGGGCTGTACCAAATACCTGAGGCTATACCAAAAAGTTTTGCACCTGCTACCTCGGGGGGAGGAGGTCTCTTGGGTGTGGCACAGGGCAGTGAAGAGCGGATGTGATGCATGGCGCAAGTGAGACATGCAAGCAGCACACGTGGGAGGGTTGGGAGTGCACAGGCAGGGCAGGGTACTTATCTTTGGTTTGGTTGCGTGGAGAGCAGCTGGTCTGGTGGCGCTGATGGTGGCGCTGCTGTCTCTCTGCCTCTCCCGCTGCTGCAGTCGTCCATTCCTCCCCTCCCCATGCCGCCCAGTGAGGTGCAGAGAGGGAGGGGGAGGCAGAAAGGGAGGAAGTGAGTGCAGGGGTACAAGCAAGGTGCAAGGTAGACACATGCAAGTGAAGACCAGCAAAGCTTCATGAAGAGAAGAAATGGTGAGAGCAAGGATGCAAGGGAGACACGCCAAGGGTGAATACCACGGGATACCACACCAGGGGCTGTAAGTACCTGCTATCTTAGTCTGAACGTACCATCTATTACCTGGGGAGGTGGTTGATTCCTAGGCGTGTCCCCTTGCAGCACGAGCATCTCTGTAGGCGTAGGGAAAAGCATCGAATGACCTGAACGTTGTTGCATATTCGGGTGGCCCGTGCTCAAATACACCTACCTCAGCACTTTTAGCTTGGTTCGCGTGCACCGAAAAGTTCGGCGTCTGCGATGACTCCTGTGTATGCCGACCAATGCTAAGGAAGCGCATGCATCCCTGTAGGCGTAGGGAAAATCATCGAACGACCTGAACGTTGTTGCATATTCAGGTGGTCTGTGCTCAAATACACCTACCTGAGCACTTTCGGCTTGGTTCGTGCGCACAGAAAAGTTCGGCGCCTGCGATGACGCCTGTGTCTGCCGACCAATGCTAAGGAAGCGTATGCATCCCTATAGGCGTAGGGAAATGCATCAAACGATTTGAACGTTGTTGCATATTCGGGTGGCCCATGCTCAAATACACCTACCAGAGCACTTTCGGCTTGGTTCTCGCGCACCGAAAAGTTCGGCGCCTGCGATCACGCCTGTGTCTGCCGACCAATGCTAAGGAAGCGCATGCATCCCTATAGGTGTAGGGAAATGCATCAAACTACTTGAATGTTGTTGCATATTCGGGTGGCCCATGCTCAAATACACCTACCTGAGCACTTTCAGCTTGGTTCGCGTGCACCGAAAAGTTCGGTGCCTGCGATGACGCCTGTGTCTGCCGACCAATGCTAAGGAAGCGCATGCACCCCTATAGGTGTAGGGAAAGGCATCAAACGACCTGAACGTTGTTGCATATTCGAGTGGCACATGCTCAAATACACCTACCTGAGCACTTTCTGCTTGGTTCGCGTGCACCGAAAAGTTCGGCGCATGCGATGACGCTTGTGTCTGCCGACCAATGCTAAGGAAGCGCATGCATCCCTATAGGCGTAGAGAAAAACATCGAACGACCTGAACGTTGTTGCATAATCTGGTGGTCTATGCTCAAATACACCTACCTGAGCAGTTTCATCTTGGTTCCCGCGCCAAGAAAAGTTCGGCCCTTGCGATGACGGCTGTGCCTGCCGACAAATGCTAAGGAAGCGCATGCATCGCTATAGGCATAGGGAAAAACATCGAACGACCTAAATGATGTTGCATATTCGGGTGGCCCATGCTCAAATACACCTACCTGAGCACTTTCAGCTTGGTTCGCGCACACCAAAAAAGTTCGGCGCCTGCGATGACGCCTGTGTCTGCCGACCAATGCTAAGGAAGGACAGGGTTCAATCTTGTCTTCCATTGCTCCCCATCCGTCTCTTTCACTCTTGGCAAATCTCAAGACACATTTATTTCTAGGCGCATGGTGGTGATGGTCCATGGTGCTATGGCAGCCGAGCTCATTTACAGTGCAGTGTAGTGGGAGTGGTGGGATAGAGTAGTGGAGAGGGAGTGCATTCATGCCATGCGTGCGTCCCCCAGTCCCCCCTCGCTGGCTCAGCTCGCTGCTCTAGTGCTATGGGCCACTGTCGCCATGCGCCTTCCCCGTTTCCCCTCCCCTCCCCCTCACTCCTTCCCCCTCAACTCAATTTTCGTTTTTGCTGTGCTCCATTTTCAAGTTTCTCATTGCTCGCGCTTCACTGCTTCTGCTCTATTGCCACCTTGACGTTCTTGCTGCTCCCATTCATTTCAAGTTCCGAGGCCGATCCTTTTCCTTTGCATCTCCTTCTCCCTGTGCCGTCTACCCCTCTGGCCTCAAGGCGAACGGAGTGTAGGGGGCAGAGCCGCACAGCCCTGGCTGCAGCAGCATGGCAGTCAACGCCAGTCAATGCCAGTCCTCGAAACCCATGCCCATGCCATTGCTGCCCTTATGGTATGATATGCATCACTTTCACCGAACCTCGCTCTCTCCTTCGCTCCTCCATACCATTGCATGTCCCCCAATGCTCGTGCATGTTTCGCGTTTCTCGTTTTTTCGCTCCACTGCTCTAGGGCCCACCTTGACCTGCTTTCTGCCCGAATATGAGTTGCTGCTTCCAATGCTTTCCCATTCCTTATCATGCTTGCTGCTTCATTTAATCCGAATTCATTGCCTGCCCTCGCCCCTGAACGCCCAAGCACAATGCCCAACGCCAACGCCCAACACCCAACGCCCAAGCCCAACGCCCAAGCCCAACGCCCACGCCCAACGCCCGCGCGCGACGCGCCCCCGCCCGGCGCCCCCGCCTGGCGCATCCCGCTCGGCGCGCCCCGCTCGGCGCCCCCCGCCCGGCGCGTCCCACCCGGCGCCCCCCGCCCGGCGCGCCCCGCTCGGCGCGCCCCGCCCGGCGCCCCCCGCCCGGCGCGCCCCGCCCGGCGCCCCCCGCCCAACGCCCCCCCGCCCGGCGCCCTCCGCCCGGCATCCCCCCGCCCGGCGCCCGCCGCCCGCCGCCCGCCGCCCACCCGCCGGCCGCCTACCGCCCGCCGCCTGCCGCCCGCCTGACGCCCGCCGCTCGACGCCCTCCGCCCGACGCCCGCCGCCCGCCGCCCGCCGCCCGCCGCCCGTCGCGCGACGCCCACCGCGCCACGCCCGACGCGCGACGCCCGACGCCCGACGCGTGACGCCGACACGCCCGACGCCCGACTCCCGATGTCCAACGCCCCCCACCCATCCTCTGGCCTTAATGCGAATGGAGGGCAGGCGGCAGAGAAGCAAAGCAGTGCATGCAGCCATGTCGCGGGCGGTAGATAGCAACATGGCAATCAACATCAGTCAACAAAATTCAACACCAGTCCTCTCCTCGGTTCCACGTCAGTGCCTTCGCTGCCATTATGGAATGGTACAGTGTACGTTCCTTTCATTCCACCCACTCTCTAGTTCGCTCTCTTACCGTCATCGCCCGGATATAAGACATATATGTCTTATCTCGTACACGGGCAAAAATGATTGGGTTGTCTTGTATTTGGGACAGTTTAGGGTGTCTTATAAGTCTTATAAATGGACAAAGAACCGTTTAGAAGATACCCCCTCGTTATACAATTGCCCCTAACTCCTACACTTTCTTAACCCGTACACACAAATAGGTGTCTTATAATGAGGCTAGCCTGTTTATAAGAGACACCCGGATAATAGACAACCCCTGTCTACTATTCAACACTGTCTACTATCCGGGCGATGACGGTATTACATTGCAGTATTAGTGGCAGTGGCAGGAACTTGGGACGTTATAACACTGCAGTATTAGTGGCAGTGGAAGCATTTTGGGACGATAACACTGCAGTAGTAATGGCAGTGGCTGCAACTTGGGACATTAGAGCTAGTAGTGGCAGTGGCAGGAACTTGCCTTGCAACACCCAGCACCACCCGCAGTTGTTGCTACACACTTGCCTTGGTATTGTGTTGGACAGCAATGGGGGCGTGACAAGACTAGGCGTGTGTGCTAAAGTGTGACAAGGCGTGTGACCTGGAGTGTGACAAAGCGTGCATGTGACCTGGAGTGTGACAAAGCGTGCATGTGAGCTGGAGTGTGACAAAGCGTGCATGTGAGATGGAGTGTGACAAAGCGTGTATGTGAGCTGGAGTGTGACAAAGCGTGCATGTGAGCTGGTGGAGTGTGACAAAACATGCATGTGCGCTGGAGTGTGACAAGGCATGGGCGCTGGAGTGCGACCTACGCAGGTATGATTAGTGCATTTGCTCATTTTCTATCTGCTTATTTGGTCATTTGCTCTTGTTAGAATGCCGATAACTACACTCTACCCATCTGCAGACAAGGCATCCGAGAGCTCTACACAGGATCGTCCCCTCCTAAGCTCCCATTGGTCAACCACCTCTTTGGCAGCAAGCAGAGCGGATCTTAGCTCCCCCAGATGTACCTCCGTGACCACCTTATCTCGAATGCACGCCCTGCAAGCCGTGACCGTGTGACACTTGGCGGGCTGCCATTGGCTGAAGCCGTTGGCGTCCAAGCAGTTGTCGATGTAGGTGGAGAGGTTGCGATGCTCGTTGCGCCACATGAAGTAGTGCACTCCCCACCGCAGCGCTATGCTGCGGAGAACGCATGCAGATGCAGCCAGTCACAAGACGGGGAGGGGATGTACAGGATGCAGAGGGAAGAATCAGTTGCGCTACATGAGATAGTGCATGCCACAGCGCAGTGCGATGCTGCAAGAACACATGCAGATGCAGTCAGTCAGAAGACAGGGGCAGTGGACATGACATGAGACAGTGACATGACCTCAAGCGCCTTGACACACCACAGACACCCCACTATACACAACCACTCCTCTCCTTCTTCCCACCCCATCCCCAGTCCTCCCCCCTCGCACTTACCGCTTGTACGCGCCATAGTGCCACATGTACGGCATGATCTCGAGTGCTGCCGCCCCTTTCTGCAGCAGCACCACATTGGCCATGGACGCCCCGTGCATCGAGACAAGCAACGCCGTCCGGTGCATCGCCCGCACCTGGGCGGCGAATGGCATGGCCTGCACATGGGGACAGGAAAGGGGCAGCATGGAGGTGGTAACAGGAAGAAGGTATTTTAGAGAGAGAACAGCAAACCAGCTTCTTGCAGTCTCTGAAACGATCTGATTGACGGGCAGTGTTGGGAAGACATGAGGAAAGGAAAGGACCCGAGTGGAGAGAAGAGATGAGTAAGCTGAAACGGAGAAGAGAAGAGAGGTGGCAGTTGATTGTACCTCCAGGGAGACCACTTTCACAGGCAGGTGGGGAAAGACAGCCCGGAGGAGCCCAACCATGGGGCGGAAGTTGCTGATGGTGCGCACCCCCCTGCGCTCCACCACTGTTATCTGCCACGCCACCCTCCTCCCTCCTCCCTGCCCCCCACTCTCTCGACGCCCCTGCTGCTGCCGCAGCAGCTGCTGCTGTTGCTGCCGCTCTCTACTGCTCCCATCCGCCCTCTCCGCTTGAAGACGCTTCATGCTGCCTCTGCTTGCTGTGACTCTTCTGGCACCTGAAACACCTGAAGCACTTGAAACAACTGAAGCACCTGAAACACCTGAAATTACCCCCCGTTTATTCCCTCCCTTGCCAGGTTGACTTGGTTTCCAATCCCCCCCTTGCTCTCCTTCTTTATCCTCCTTACCCTCCCTTCTCTCCTTCCTCCTTTTCCCCCCATTCCCCCCATTCCCCCCATTCCCCCCATCTCCTCCATTTGCACCGCCCTGATCCCTTCCACTGTGTTTATCTGCCGCTTTTCTCCTCTCCCCACCACTCAAACCTGCCTTTCCGTTCTTCTCACTTCCCCCACTGCTCCTCCCTCCCTTCTCATTTCTCTTCTCACTTCCCCCACTGCTTCCTCCTCCCTTCTCATCTTTCTTCTCACTTCCCCCATTGTTCTTCCTTCCCTTCTCATCTTTCTTCTCACTTCCCCCATTGTTCTTCCCCCTTTTCTCATCTTTCTTAACCCCCCCACTTCTCCTCCCTCCCTTTTCAACTTTCTTCTCACCTCCCCCGCTGCTCCTCCCTCCCTTTTCTTCCCCTTTTCTCTCTCGATTCTTCTCATCCACACCCCGCTTTTCCACCCCCTTCCCCGCCCCCTTCCCCACTCCATCCGTCACACCACCCCTCCTCAATCCCCCACCCCCTCCACCTCCCTGTCTCCCTCCCCCTTCTCTTTCACCCCGTGCCCCACGCTCCCCTCTCCCTCCCCCACCCGCCCCCACCCGTTCAATCTCATCCGTCCAAATCCTTGGATCGGCCTGCTGGGCTTTAAGGGTCTTGCCAAGCCCAGCGCCCTGCGCCACCCAGAGGCGGAAGAGGTCAGCAGAGGAGGGCGCGTGGGCGATGGAGAGCGGGAAGAAGGCGTCCTGGAAGCACGTCGTGTGGGTCCACACCCGCCCCGCCTCCACTGCTGGTGGTGGGGGTGATTCTGGTGCTGCCAGTGCTTCGCCTGCTGCTGTTGCTGCTTCTGCCCCTGTCGCCCCTGCTGCGCCGGCTTCCCCTGCTGCGTCTACCTCCCCCCTCTGCTTCCTCTGCTGTCGCGTGCCCTTCAGCCCTCGCATGCCTGCGTGGTCTTTCATGCCTTGATGCTCCCGCAAGGCTTGCGGGGCTCTCATGCCCTGATAGTCCCGCATGGCCTGAGGGCCGCGCATGGCAACGGCGCCAGCTGCTGCCACCCACCTTGATATTCCCGCACTGAGAGGGGTGGGTAGGGGAGGAGAGTAGAAGCGGGGAGTCAGAAGAAGGATAAAGAGGAGGAGAATGAGAGGGGGGCGCAGGGGGGATGTGGAGACGGGAAGACGGGAAGGAGAGGAGGGAAGGAGAGACAACCACTCACCCACTTGGGAAGAAGAGCACTGGCTGCACATCAACCCTGTCCCCAACCTTTCCACCACTCCCACCACCAGCAGCAGCAGCAGCATCAGCAGCACCACTAGTATCAGCAGAACCACCACTGACACCAACAGCATCACCACCAGCACCAGCACCACTATCCGCAGTGCCACCACCAGCAGCAGCAGCAGCATCAGCAGCTTTCCTGTTCCCAGATACCACCCCCCTGCCTGCCACTTGCGTGCCTGGGACCTCTGTGTCCCTGGCGCCAGTGGGCAGGTGTCTGGCCAACTCAGTCATGGCGCCAATGAACTCCACCAAGTGCCCCAGGTGCCCGTCCCTCAGCGACACCACGCCCACGCCCCGCCACTGCTCTGGTTGCTCCGCTGAGATGGCAAACGACATGTTGTTAGTGGTAAACACACTAGCCGAGTAACCACAGCTGCTGCTTGTCGTGGTGGTGGTGCTGGTGCTACTGGTGGTGCCAGCAGCAGCAGGGAGGGGGTCAGCAGGCGGGCGGCCGTGCAGGAAGAAGAGCTCAGCATCACTGGCATGCACAAACGGCCCCACACGCCCACTCAACTCAGGCAAATCCCGCACGTCCGCACTTGAGAAGTGCTCCTTTCTCAGTGGTGCCAGCCCGGCCCTCCCCGTGCAGATGTTCTCAGACAGGTTCAACCGGGACAGGTCGTATCTGGGGTCCTTCCAGTACCACACGCCCACGTGGCGGTCCGTGATTCGCTCGCGCAGCATGATTTTTTTGATCTCGTGGTTGGCGACGGGGACTGAGTGGAAGAGCGGGTTGAACGCATAGCACACGTTGCGCACCCACAGGGTGCAAGCATAGTCGCCCTGCTGCTGTAGCAGGCGCAGGAAAGTCGCGTTGGCCTCTGCTGGAATCGAGTCTGCTGATAACGGGTTGATACTGGGCCTGCTTGCACTAGCCGCAGCAGCAGCAGCGTTACCCTTATTCGCACCATCAGTGCCTGCACCAGCCGCAACAGCACCACCACCCTCAGCACCTTCACCGTCACTATCACCAGCTGCTGCTGCTGCTGCTGCTGCTGCTGCTGCTGCTGCTCCTTCCTTCATGAGAGCGCCCCACCCGCCCTCCTCCTCCCCCTCCTCGTCCTGCTCGCGGAACGTGGGGTCTGGGAGCGGGTTGCTCATGCGCCACCCGTGCGCCCGCAGCCAATCGCTGAGGCTCTGGCTGTCGCAAGGGACGCACAGTTGAAACGGCGGGGGGCAGGGAGATGTAACCGGGGGTCAGAGATGTAACCGACGCCCGGGACAAGTAGTCTCAGCGGAGGGTCCGTGTTAGAGATGTAACGGGTCGGAATGGAATGTAACGAGTGACGGAGGGGGATTGGGGGGTGGGGGGTGGGGGGGAGGGAGGGGGGAATGGGGAGGGAGGAGGGGGGATGTAACAATGGGGGAGGGAGGGATGTAACGTACCGCTGGGTCCAGCGTGTGTTGAAATGATCTTGAGGCACCAGCACCAGCACCAGCAGCCTCGCCAGAGGCTGACTGAGTGTCTAAATGAGAGTGGGAGGGGTTTTTCCGGAACATGCCATGCCTGATGCGCACGTGCCACGGATACTGTTGTTGATCACGTTGACTTCGTTGACTCTGGTGATTGTGACTAAAACGAGGGTGCCGCTGCGAGCCGGGATCGGTGGCTAGCGAAGCCACGTGGGATCGATGCAATTCGCCTATGAGCACGAGGAGGAGGATGAGCGACGCCACGCCGTACAGTAACAGCGCGCGGATCAGGCCGTCGCTTCTAACGGGGGATTTTGTTTTCGCGGGGGCGGGTGCGACGGTTGCGAAGGCTCGCTTGCCGTATATCGGACTCATGGCTCCTCGAAAATGGGATTTATTTTCGCCGGCATTGGCGGGGCCGTGGGAGGAAGACGAAGGGGACGAGACGGGTGCGGCGAGGGATGGTAGGTGAGGCGAAGGGGAGGACGACGGCGAATCATGTAACGCTCTTCGCGAAACCGTTGCTTTCGCCGAGCTGGAATGTTTCGCGACGACCTCCGTCGGTCGGTCGGGCTGTGCTGCTCGCGTGAAGCCAGACTGCTGCTGTTGCCGATTCCGGGGCGTTCGTGCCATGGCGCGAGGTGCACACGCACGCTAATAATGGCGCGTGCGTGGTGACAGGCGAGCGGAGCAACTAGAAGGACAACATTAGCGCGTGGAACCTCTGGACTCGATTGGTAGGCAAATAGTGGCGACTATATAGACCAGTCTCGTTTCAATACGGAATGAAGCGAAAGCATTTCTATCCACCACCTACCCACCAGCCTGGCGCCAGCAGTAAAACGCTCATTTTCCCGTTACAGAGTTCCTCCGCAAACAAAAATTTGTACATTTACGCACCACATATTCTGCCTCGAACGCTTTATCGGGTTGTCGTGCTAGGGTTGAAGAATAGTACAGTTGTTCTCGTTTAAAGTCCGACGGAGAAACACGCCGCGCGCGGACTATATGTCAAAATGTCCGAAACCCCGGGCAAACGGGACCCTATAGTCCCAAATTCGAGAAAATTGCATGAAAAGCGGTTTTTTGTCTCTACTGGTTGTTGTTTTTTGTCATATACGTACGTATGGACCGCGCTTGCTTCAACTTCTCGTCGAACGGTTTTACGCGTTATCAGTGATGCGTGAAAAACGGGCAGAAATAAACAACATCGATTATGTTTGATGCCATAATAAGTTTGTCTTTTTGTTTTTCCTTCCTGTCAGCGAGATTACTGAGATGTCATCGTGGAGCGCGCTAGGAATCGCGCGACGGGAATAAGAAACAAGCGCGGTCAAGAGAAACAAAAAATATCAGTTGTAAATGTTTACTTCGAAACAAAACTGCCCTTTTTAGCATTCTCCGTAAATGTTCAAGGCACTTATACGTGCAATGAACCTGGTCAAAAAAGGGACTGTAGAGGAGGGGCCACACCTAGGAATTAAAGGAAAAAGCTCCTCCTTCTGAAAATAGAACTTTGTGAGCGCGGGACTTTATAGCGGAACCATTTGTAGCTGGAAGCTGGAAATTGCTGGTCTGCCTCCGGCTAGGTTTGGTTCGAGACCAACCACACCGCGTCTTTTGGTATGTTCCGAACGTCCATCCGTCACGCTTTTTAATTGGCTGGGCCCTGGTCCGAGATAGCTTCCCGCGCTTCATCCAGCCACTCTCGGTTCGGACGCAAGTTCGTGATTCCCTACGTAGAGGCGACCAAACCAAAACCCATTACGCCGGGAAACATGCCCAGTGACTCTCAGTCCACAGAACACGGGCCATTTTTAACGGCATTCAACTTATGCCAGCGCAATTATGCAGACGCATACAATAGACGGCCGCAGGGGAAAGAGGCTGACGGACTGTTATCTGCCCGCGGTCAGAAAAAAATAAACCCCATCTGGATGGCATGCGATTGAGGGAGCCTCAACCCTAAACACGGGTAACCGCATGTTTTTGCCAGCAAGCCGACCATTTTCCCCTGAACCGTCTATTGCATGCGTTTGCAAAGCTGCACTAGCAAGATCTGCATGCGGTAGGTAAAACCCGCACAGAACACAGCGCAACGCGCAATGCAAGCAAGCAACCCATCAGTCACAGCACAGCGCAACACTCAAGCCCGGCTTCTCCCCATCATTATTCTGCGTGTCTTTCCCACACGGCGTTCGGAAGAAGTTTGCCAGGCGTGCAGAATCACGACTGTTGTCGCCTTCTCAAGCCGCGGTCCGCGGTAACGCGGTCACAGTTCGTCGATTACTTCTCATTTCAAACGACCTGCTCCCAGGTTGAGTAAGACTGGCTTTCTCCCATTAATTCACAGCTCCATTGGTCACAGCTCCATTGGTCACGGTATTGTTGCTACTTCTCCGAGCGCGAGCTATGCTGCCTGATCGAGCTTCTTAGTCCTGACCACCTCCCGATAAAGCTCGCTTCGCCTTCGGCGCGAGTCGTGGTAACATAACGCGGCAGTATGGCGACCGTCGTGACAAACAGAATGCGACCTTTGTCGGCGCGTTTGAAGCGAATCATTAACTTTATTCGATGCAAGAAAGCTAGATTCCTCCATTCCTGAGGAAGCTTTGAGTCCATCCGCGCGGATCCGTCGATTGCGGTCGACTAGAGCGGTCGTCCTAAATCGATCGCATGCGAACATTCGTTTCGGAGCAGTCGTTCTAGAATCCTCCGTCCGGAAACAGTTGAGACTATCGCGATTGGGAGAGTAGCGACAAGAATGCGAGGCGATATGGAGCTGGATATTATATCGAGTTACGGGTGCGGATGATCAGTCGGCGAATACATATACCTGACGAATACGCGATTTAGTTGACGTCTCCGATGCTATTCCGTAGGTAGCAGAGCGGCGCGAGCGTTTCGACGCGTAGGTCCGTCCGACGTGTCGGTCGCGGATTGGTAGCGGAGCGATGGGGGTGGACGTGGGCCAGGAGTCGAAGCGGCAGACGGACGTGGTATTCGACGGGCACCGGTGGACCAAGTACGGCCAGAAGGTGCTGCTGCACTCCAGCTTCGTGCGGTGAGTGCTTGTAACGAGGTTCAAGCTAATATCGTGGTGCTCGTTACTACCCTGTCCCTGCACTCCATTCTCAACCGTGACCACCCAACTCTGCATTCCCCACAACTATTCCCAGAATCTCCCTCCCACTGCCCTCCAACTTTCCTCCCTCCTGTCATCCTCGTTACAAGGTCGTACTACCGCTGCAGCTACTGCAGCGCGGCCAAGGGGTCATGCCCGGCGCGCAAGCTGGTGGACCGGCATCCGTCCAACCCGCACGAGATCCGCGTGGGGTACCACGGCCGCCACAACCACGCCGGCCTCAGCCCCGCCTCGCCCACCATCCAGCGCTCCGTCACTCCCCCCCGGGATATGTCCGCGTCGTCACAGAGCATGGCTGCTGCTGCCGCTGCTGCTGTCGCTGCTGCAGAGGCGGCGGGTGCTGTGATGGGGGGTGGTGGGGGGGGGAATGGGGAGGCGAGGTTGGATGGAGATGCAGCTGGGGAAGGCCAGTCTCTCCCACCGGCAGCGAGGCGGGATGCGCGGAACTTGATGCAGTTTGGGGAGGAAGCGGTGGGGGAGGGAGAGGAGGGGGTGGATGGGGGTGAGGGGACGGGGCAAGACCTGGATTACAAGTGAGTGGGTTGCTGCTGCTTGTGTACATTGAGTTCGGAATGTTTTGAATTCGAGTTTGACTCAAATGCTGTACTGAGCTGTGCTGTGCTGTGCTGTGCTGTGCTGTGCGGTGCTGTGCGGTGCTGTGCTGCGCCCCATCTGCTTTCAGCAAGTGAAATGACTCGTCCCTGTCCCTTCTCCCTTCACTCCTGGACTGGACGTCCCCTGCACGAATCGCCCATCTTGACAGAACGTTCGAAGCCATGCTGAGCCGCGGAGAGGAGATCCTGGTGGGGATGGACGACGAGGGGGAGGGGGAGGGCGAGGGCGAGGGGGAAGGGGAAGGTGAGGGGGCGCAGCAGGGGTTGCGGGGGGAGCAGGCGGAGGGGGATGAGCGGAGCTGGCGGGCGCTGCAGCTGCCTGAAGACGGGTACCTGTGGGACCCGCCCAGACGCCACAAGCCACTCGTTAACTCCATGTACATTCGGTGAGTAAGGGGAGTGGTGGGGGAGTGGTGGGGGAGTGGTGGTGGGGGAGTGGTGGTGGGGGAGTGGTGGTGGGGGAGTGGTGGGTGGGGGGAACGTGTGCCTGTGCATCTGGTGAAAAGGGTGGTCGCTGCACCTGCCTGAAGATGGGTACCTGTGGGACCCGCCTAGGCGCCACAAGCCACTTGTTAACTCCATGTACATTCAGGGAGTGGAAGAAAGGGAGGAGAATGTGTGTTGCGGTGTATCGGTGCTCGTGCCGCCCTGAGACCGACCAGCACCACATGTCCAGCAGTGAGGGTGATGGATAGTATCATCTTCCCGCCTAAACGACTCCCCTTCACTACTCCGCCCCGCACCACCACCACCGCTCGCTCTGCCGCTCCTTCCTTTCCCTCCTCCCCATCCCCCCCCCCCCCACAGGGTGGTGTATCGCTGCTCATACCGTCCTGAGACCGGCAACAGGTGTCCAGCAGTGAGGGTGGTGGATATCCACCGCGCCAATGCCTCCTCGCTGCAGCTCACCTACACGCGCCCCCACTGCCACCCCCAGCCCGTCCGCATTCGCCTCACTCGCCGCCCCGCCACCCCCCGCTCCTCCACCCCCCCCTCCGCCAGCCCCCCCTCCGCCACCCCCCCCTCCGTCAACCCCCCTTCCGCCAGCACCCGCTCCGCTACTCCCCCCTCCGCCCCCCCCCGCGCCACAACCCCCCGCTCGTGCTCCCTCCCTGCTGGCAGGCGCAAGGGGGAGGGGGGCGGACGTGGGGAAGGCAGGGGAGGGGCTGGGGAGGGGGGAGGAGAGGGGGAAGGGGGAAGATCTGGGGAAAAAGGGGTGGGGGGCGGGGCGGAAGCGGAAGTGGGGACGCTGGGGAAGAGGGAGGGCGGAGGAGGGGGGAGGAGTAGTGGGAAGGGAGGGGGACGGGGAGAGGGGTCAGTAGGGGGGAGTGTGGGGGGGGAGCAAGGCAGAAGGAATGATGGTGCGGGCGCGGGTGTGGAGTGGAATGGTGCAGCGATGGGGGGAGTGGCTGGGATGGTGGGCGCAGACGGTATGGGTGGAGGGGATGGGGGGGTGGGAGCGAACGGGAGGGGCAGAACAGAAGGGGTGATGGGAGGAGAAGGGATGGTGGGAGCAGGGGCGGCTGTGAAGGGTTACCCTGGCTTGATTGCTCGTAGTGGTGGCGCTGGTGAGGTTGGTGGTGGTGAGGTTGGTGGTGGTGGGGGAGGTGGTGGTGGGGGAGGTGGTGGTGGTGGGGGAGGTGGTGGTGGTGGGGGAGGTGGTGGTGGTGGGGCGCTGGGTGACGCTAGGGTGTTGCCTGCGCCTGGAGTGTCTTGCACTCCTGACAAGCTAGGCCCAGGCCCTCCGCTCAAGCGAGCAAAGCTCTCAACACCTGCGAATCTCGCTGCACCACTGCATCCGGCTTTGAATGCGCTGACCCGCACAGTGTCAGGGCAGGACCAGTCGTGGGGGGGAATGATGGGGATGGGGGCGGTGGGACACATGGAGCGAGGAGGCCTGATGGGGGCTGTAGGGGCGATGGAGTGGGGTGGTGAAGGAGGGGGCAAAGGAGGGGTGATGGTGGAGGGAAGAAGTGGGGCAGGTGGAGGGATGGGAGGACGGCTGGGTGGAGAGCTGGGTGGAGGGACAGGAGGGACAGGAGGAGGAGCAGGTGGAGGGACAGGAGGGATGGGAGGAGGGGCAGAAAGAGGGATAGGAGGAGGGATGGGAGGAGGGATGGGAGGAAGCAAAGGAGGAAGGGGGGAGAGGGTGGGGGCAGGAGGAGCATGGCGAGTGGAAGGAGGGTTGACTCGAGCGTTTCGGGAGGCAGAGGCTGGGAAGGGTGGGGCCACGGGTGGGCTTGAGTCTGCTTCGTTACAAGCAGATCCCTCACTGTCAGAACCGTTACAAGCAGAAGCGTTTCAGGAAGGCCTGTTACAGGAAGGTATGGTGGTAGATGAGCCGTTACAGGAGGAACTATTACAGCAGCTTCAGCAGATGCAGCAGCTGCAACAGCTGCTGCAGGGAGAGGAACTGAATCCCGTGAAAGACATGGATCAGCAACAAGAGCAGCAGCAGCAGCAACAACAACAGGGGGAGCAGCAGCAGCAGGAGGAGGAGGAGAACCGGCAGTCGCAACAGCAACAGCAGCAAAATCATCATAAGCAGCAGCAGCAGCAGCGGCGGCAGCAGCAGGTGCAGCAGGTGCAGCAGGTGCAGCAGGTGTCCGGGGCAAACACTATAAGCAGGACCGGATCCCTGGCACAACACGACGCCAAGGGAACGATAGCAGGCGCTGGCATGTCACCAGCTGACATGGCACGCACCAGTTTCTACACAGTAGGACCGAGGGTTGTTGCTCCTGCTGCTGTACCTGCTGTAGCTGCTTGTGCGCTTGCTGGCAGCAGTGGTGCAGGGGATGCAGGTGGGGGTACTGCAACTGGCAGCACAGCGGTTGCTGCTGGGACAGGAGTTCATCCCTTGCAGCGGCAGCACCATCTCTCAAGAGATCAGCTCACTGCACCACCACCAACCACTGCTCCTCTCCCTGCTGCTTCTGCCACTGTCGCATCTGCCGCTGCTGGTGCTGCTGCTTCAGCTACGGCATTTGTTGGTGCTGCTTCCAGCTCACCATATTTATCGCCTCACCAGCCCTGCTCGCCTCACCAGCCCTGCTCGCCTCACCAGCCCTGCTCGCCTCACTCCAGCCCCACAGCCAGCGTCACCACTGCAACTCACACTTGCCCCATCCCCACCCCGCCTCGTTTCCCTCCTCCTGGCCTTTCCCTTGCTGGCATTTCACCTGGAATTTCACCTGTCACTTCACCTGGCGTCTCCCCCTTAGGGGGGACTTCCCCTGCCATTTCTCCTGGAAGCAGTTTCGGGGCGAACCTGTCTCGTGCCGTGCCTATGCTTGGTCCGGCACCTCGGCTCAACCGAACCAGCAGCACAGCCACGGCAGCAGCAGGAGATCTAGCTGGCACGCTTGCCGGAGTGGTGGCAGGAATAGGTACGGCAGCAGGAGCAGAAACAGGTACGGCAGGGGCAGGTATGGGTACAACTACACAAGCAGGTACAGACACAAGCACAGGAGCAGGCATGGGCACACACACAGGAGTAGATATGGGCACAAGCACAGGAGCACAACCAGTTGCTGCTGGGGCAGCAACAGCAGCAACAGCAGGTGCAGCTGCTATGGCATACCTTGCAGGGGGGCGGTCTGTGTCAGCACCCCTGCCCATCCCCCGTCAGTCCTCGTCTTCTGCACTGAACAACCCCTTCTTCCCCTCCTCTCGCTCCCTCGCCCCGTTAAAAGAGCTGGAGCAGCAACAGCAGCAGCAGCAGCAGCAGCAGCAGCAACAGCAGCAGCAACAGCAACAACAACTGCAACTGCTGCTCCTACTGCAGCAGCAGCAGCAGCAGCAGCAGCAGCAGGTGTCACCTGCTCATTCCCCCACCACCACCCAAGCAGTCGGCCTGGCTCCAACCTCCTCTCCCACATCCCCCACTGCATCTGGCCTTCTCACAGCACTACACTTGCACCACGCCCCATCACCCACCCACCACGCCCACTCACACATGCACTCAGCACCTGCTCCCGCCCACCACCGTCACTCACCCCTCCATTCAGCACCCTCACCCGCCCACACACCACCATCTCCCTCCCAAACCCTAGACCAACAACCCTGGCCTGCCCTGCCCTACACTGCCCGATCGCCATGTGGGTTCCCCTCCTCTTCCCCTGCCGGTAGCACTGGTACTAGCTTAAGTACGGGTACTAACTTAAGCACTGGTACTGGGTTAAGTCCCGGTGTAGGTCTAAGCGCTGGCCCTGGTTTAGGTGGAGGTATGGGCCTAAGCACTGGTACTGGGTTAAGTCCAGGTGCGGGCCTAAGTGCCGGTACTGGGCTAAGCACCGGGGGGCTAAGTACTGGCGCTTTAAGTGGTGGGGGACTGGGAGGGGGTTTGAGTGCAGCAGGAGCGAGTGGTGGGGCAGAAGCACTGGGAAGGGGGGGGGTAGGAGGACTAGGTGGTAATCTTGCTGACTCGGGTGGTTTTGGTGGGTTGAGCAGAGCAGGGGCATTGCCGGGGGAGTGTGGCTTCGACTCTCTTCACCCTGTGTGTATTGCTGATTCTGTTGGGCCCGGCTTAGGGAATGATGTGGGTGCTATAGAGGCAGGGTTGGCTCAGAACAAGCTGCAGCAGATGCTGTTGCAGCAGCAGCAGGAGAGGCTGCAGCGGCAGCAGGTGCAGCTGCAGCTTCAGCAGGAGCGGCTGAAGTGGCAGCAGCAGCAACAGGAGCTGCTGAGAATGCAGAACGAGCAGAAAGAGACGGAGGAACGAGAGGAGCGAGAGCAGAAGCAGGCTGAAGAGCAGATGCTGCGAGATGTGCAGCAGCAGAGCGAGTCGCTGCAACAACAGCAGAGAAGGCAGAATGAGCCAGCAGAACAGCATAACCAGCAGCAACAGCCACAGCAGTTACAGGAGCAACAGCAGCAGCAGCAGCAACGGCGGCAAGAGCAGCCGATTTTCGCGCGGAGAATGCTGGCCAGGCAGGGCCTGCTGGAGCGCCTACCCAGCGATGCCTCCACTGCTGGCAACCTTGCTAGCGTGCGGGGATTCTCCCCTCTTCAGACACAGGCAGACATTGCAGGAGAACATGCTCTTGTGGCAGGATCAGCTGCTGCTGGTGGTGATGATGATTTGCCATTGGGGTTTGCAGCAGCAGAGCCAGGTGTTTCGGCAGGTGGTTCTGGGGCTGTGGGCGATCCAGCCTTTTCAGCCGGCAGCAACGCGCGGCCGGCGTGGATGGGAGCATGGGAGGCACCTGAAACCAACGGTCAAGATTCTCTGGATGAACTCCCTTCTTTCCTCAAGGATATTCAGGCAGGAGGGCTGTCAATGCTAGGCGGAGGGGGGAGAGGAGCGGCAGCAGCAGCAGGGGGTGGGCGTGGGGGAACAGTGGCGCGTCTGTCATCAGTAGAGGGTCCGGAGCTGCAGAACCTGCTTCGGTTCGGCAGCATGGGAGGGCTTCTCGCCCCTCCGCTTTCCAGGCTAGGATCCTTGGCGGCAGGAGGAGGGGCAGCAGGAGCGGTGGGAGCAGGAGGAGGAGTGGCAGGAGGAGGAGGTGGGGGGCCAGCAGCAGCAGCAGCAGCAGCAGCAGCAGCAGCAGCAGCAGCAGCAGCAGCAGCAGCAGCAGCAGCTGGGGGAAACGAGAGAGAGACAGTGGCACGGCTGTCGTCAGTGGATGGGCGGGAATTGCAGAATCTGCTTCGCTTTGGCAGTATGGGGGGCCTTCTTGCTCCTCCACTCCCACGCGTTGGCTCACAGGCAGCAGCAGCTGCTGCGGCTGCTGTTACTGCTGCTGCTGGTGCCGCTGGTGCTGCTGGGGCAGCTGCTGGTGCAGTCCAGAAGCTAATTCCTGAACGTTCCCCTGTACACTCACCAGCAACAGCAGCAGCAGCTGGTGCTTGTAGGCTGCAACGCACTGGCTCCCCTGTCTATCGCCCCTCCTTCTCCCCTCCCTCTCGCCCTTCCCTCTCCCCACCCTCCCACCGCCCTCCCTCCCCTCCTGCTCCTCGTCCTCCCTCCCCGCCTGCTGCTCGTTCTCCCTCTCCCCTTTCCCGCCACTCCCTCTCGCCGCCCAAGCGCCGCCCGGGTTCCCCTCCCACGCATCGCCTGGCGCGCATTGATTCGCTCACTTCCAACTCGCCCCTCACGTCGCCCACTCCTGTGGCATGGGGACAGCAGCGCGCAGGGTATGGGGGTGGGGATGGCTTGTGTGATGGGGGGTGGGAAAGAGGGGGAGGAGAGGAGGGAAGGGGAGAAGGGAGGAGGGGGGGAAGGGAAGGAGGTGGGGAGGAGGGGGAGGAAGGAGGGGGGGAAGGAGGAGGAGGAGGGGGAGAGGGAGGGGGAGAGGGAGGGGGAGAGGGAGGGTGGGAGGGAGGGGGAGAGGGAGCGGGAGAGGGAGGGGGAGAAGGAGGGGAAAACTTTGGCAGTGGTGGTGGTAATATGAGTCCGGGCATGGGCATGGGGATGGGTCCGGGCATGGGGATGGGGATGGGGATGGGCGGAGAGGGGGAGTGGGCCTCACCAGGTTCCAGGCAAGGGGGTCACCAGGGGGACCTGCTAAGTCTGCTGCGCTATGGCAGCATGGGCGGGCTCATTCTCGCCTCCAAGTCACCCCCTTCCGCCCCCACTCCTCTCGGAGCCTCCGCTGGGGTTTCCCCTGGGTTTTCACCTGGGCGTTCCCCTGGATTTTCACCTGGGCGTTCTCCAGGGCCCTCCCCTCTCGCTCCCCTCCCAGCGGGTCTGTCCTCCCTCGCTCCTCATAGAGGGATACTAGAAAGCAGCCCCACCCCTGACGCTGCTGCTGCTGCTGCTGCTGCTAATTCTGCCATTGCTAATGCTGCCTACACTTCTGCTGCTGCTGCTAATGCAAATGCTAATGCTGATGCGTATGCTAATCCTAATTTCAATCCTAATGCAAGCGCTGATGCTGCCGCTGGCAGTGGCGCTGGTGCTGCTGGGGGAGCAGCAGAGAAGAGCAGAGCGCCAGCAACAGAGTCACCCATACCATCCGCGCGAGAATGGCAGCAGAGCAGGCAGGACCAGGGGCTGAATGACCAACCTGCAGCACTCAGGCCCGACAATGCTGCTGCTTTCAGGTTTGAGCTATGCCATGCCATGCCATGCCATGCCATGCCATGCATGACAATTCCGACATTCCCCTCTTTTTCTTGCATGGCTATTTCCTATCTGATGTTAATCATTGCTGCGAATGGTTCAAAGCCTTCACATGTCCACAAAGTCTTATCCTGTTCTGTTGGGTCTTTCAACCCCTACCTCTCCTCTTCTCCTCTCCCTCACCGCCCACCGCTCCCCCCTCTCCTCACCTCTCTCCCCCTTCTCCCCTTTCTGTCTCCTCCCCTTCCCGTTCCCCAGCCCGGCCAGCCAGGCAGCAGGGGAAGCAGCATGGACAGAGACAGGGAGGAAAGAGATCACTCACGCTGCCACAGGCAGGCGCATTGAGAGGTGGGTGGGGAGGGGTGGGGAGGGGTGGGGAGGGGTGAGGAGGGGCTGGGGAGGCCCGTCGCACAAGGGGGTGGGGTTCAGAGGGGTAGGCGAACTGAGTTGAGTCCACATTCACAACGCTGTTCCAGTTGGTTGCACATGCCATATAGATTACAAACATAAACAACAATAAAATTGCGAATAATGTGTCCTCTGCAGGCTCATTGCAATCTAAACTGAAACCCCCTTCCTGTCACAACTTTCCCCAACCCTGGCAGGTTCTATTTCGGTTGTTCCGTTCGGGGCTGCCCGGCACGAAAAGTCGTGGATGTTCAACTGCCCAGTTGCCGCCCCATGAGCCCTGCTGTTGTGGATAGTGTGTACTGTGGGGGGGAAGTGGGGGAGGGCGGCGAGGGGGGGGAGAATGAGGAGAGAGGGGAGCGGATGGAGGAGAGTGGTGGGGAGGGCGGGCCTGGGGAGGGGGTGATGAGTGGAGGAGGAGGAAATCCAGGTGGGAAGAGGAGAAGAGGTCAGGGTCCGGGGGAAGGGAAAGGTGGGGGTTTTGGCAGTAAGAGGCGTTGCCCTGAGCCTGCTGCGACAGCTGTGGCTGGGTATGACTGTGAAGGGGAGGTTACCGGGCAGGTGACAGAGACTTTTTACGGGTTCCATTTGGGGCACACCCCACCGTCCCCCTCGTCTCTCTTCCACTCCGCAACCACAGCCGCAGCCGCTGCTGCTGCTGTCACTGGTTCTGACACTCACTCACCAGCACCTCAAACCGCCAAGGGCAGCGCCTCAGGGACAGGGTTACCAGCATGGACCCACGAAGGTTGTGAGGCGCGAGCAGGGAGGGAAAGTCAATTAGGTCCTGAATACCCCCAACAGTCTCGTGGAGGGTTATTAGAGTCATATGGTCACTCCAACGTTCTGCGAGTCTCTCCTCTCTCGCAACATCCGATCCCTCGACCCACATTTGACCCCGCACACCTCTCCTCTCAGCCTTCCCCCCACCCCTCCCCCCCAGCCTCCTCTCCCCAGTCTCCCCTCAACTCAGCGCCCAACTCCTCTCCATCCACCCCTCTCCCCCCTTCCCTCTCGTCCTCCTCCCCTGCCTCTTCCAATCTGCTCGCCCCTCTCCCACGCTCCCTCGCCCGCCAGAGGCCCGTGGCCTCTCTCTCGCCAAACCGGGACTGTTTTCCGGGCAGCTTCGAAGGATTAGGGCAGTTTGAAGGGCAGGGAATGCAAGACAATTAGGAAGCAGAATAGTTCCAGCCTGCGATGTGCTTGTGTACGTTCCTGCTAGGCCCTGTCATTGTGCTGTTGCCCCCACTTTTTGAGAGTTGGGGAACTCTGCAGGAAAAATCCGCATTGGATAGTCACGAATGGTCACACACATGACAAAGTTGCAATAAATAAGCGTTCTTAGACCTCTGCTACTGGATGGCCTCCCTATGCAGCACCATCTGCATGGGGATGGCTGACGCGCCTTGGATCCGAACCCCGTAACGGATCCATCTTGTCAATCCCGCTAACGCGTATCATTGCATCAAAACTTCCAACCTGTCGGCCAGGGACAATATTTGTCGCAGCAGCGCGACCTTCTGTTTCGCACAGGCGGTCGCAGCCTCCGCAGCTTTCTCGCCCTCGGGACCGCCGCGCGCAATCTTGCTTCCGCACGCGTGGCAGCACACGCCCTTCACAATAATCTTTCGCAGCTTCGGGCAGTGGAGCGCGATTGTCGCAATCGCCCCCGCGTCGAAATCTACGTCGGTCAGAACCAAAACTTCCAGCTCGCGATGGAAAACCGTTGCGCCCGACGCTGCTGCGAAAGGGCAGCTGTTCGCGAGAGCGCCAGGGGTTTGAATCGATCCGCCGAAGAGCTCAAGCAGTCGCAAGCCCGCGCATTTGCGAAGGGCGAAAAGATCGTCGACCTCGAGCCCGCCGTTGTGAATTCGCAGGCACGTCAGGTCCCTCCACGCGATCACCATGAGGTAAATCGCCTGCTTCGTAACGCTGTTTCGCGAAAGGCTCGCGAAATGTCGCACGTTTCGGAAGCCCGAAGTGAGATACCACATGCACCGCGTTTCAAGAGCCCCGAACGACGTCTCTACCCCCGCTGACGTCAGCTCGATGCTCTGAACCTGCTTGCAATAGAGCGAAATTATCCATAGAATACTGCAAATGGACGCTTCGTTCCGGCTCGTGCTGTCCTGATCGCAGTCGATAACCACGTGGCGAAGCGACTCGCCGCACGAGACTATAATCGGGTGCAGCACGTGCAGCTCGCAGCGCGGGTCGTCGATGAACAAATCCGTCAGCTGCGCGCAACGCGGCGCTAATTGCTCGACGCCCGCGTGCATGCTGCCCGGACCGATGCGGAGCTTCGTCCAGAACACCCGGCTGTAGCACAGCTTCCGCCACGTGGAGTTCACGCACGCGTAGCGGCACAGATCCCATGCCGTCGGCTGCCCCTCCTGCAGAATCTTCAACAGGAGATCCTCTCCCAGATCGCTCAATGACGGCCCGTCAGAAGTTTCTTCTGCCCCGGGCAGCGCATCCGTGTCTTCCCGCGCCTTGAAGAAGTCTATCTGTGTGGGCGCGCTTTCTGCGGCGGAGGCGGCGGCGGTGGCGGAGAGAGCGAAAGGGTGCGCGGACGGGGCCGCGGGCGCGTTAGAGTCGAATGCGGCGTGAGATGGGGGGAAGTTAAGATTCTCAATTATTCTGCGCTTTTTGGATAGCGCGTCGGGCTGTGCGAGTTCGGAGTCATTTTCGCGCTGCTCGCGTCGAGTTGCCGCGGGTCCCAGCGCGAACAGCTCGGATAGACTGACACCCATGGAGTGAGAGGAGAGATAGAGATTGAGATTGCACAATCCTAAGGCTCGAGCCGTGATGTGAAGGTGTTGTTGCCAGGCTGGGATATCCAAAGAAGCAAATCTGCTACGATTTTTTCGGGCGAATGCTGCTGAGGAACAACAGATGGCTTGGCCTTTATGGGGTGACGAGGGGGGGGGCTTCGGGGGGTTTGTGAACTCGAAAGAAAGGGACGAAGAGCACAGCCGAAGCGCAGAGAATTGCGGGATGAGTGTGGGAGGGAAAAATCACCCGCCGCGCGAAGATGACTGACTAGGGGGAGTGATGGACGGGTAAGTGCGCGATGATACTGTTGCTGGCGAATGGATGTGTGGGTGGGGCCCTGGAGGTCGCCCGGCCAATCACTGTCCTTTCCTCAAGAGACTTTGAAATGGTTGGTTGGTGGGATGTCTCTGATATGGGCTTGTACCGTAACGCAACACACTTCATTGCCCCCGAACCGAACCGACATGTGCCTCCTCTCATCCAAGCAGATTTCTTTCCCGAGGCTGCCTGCCACACCAAGTTCCATCGCCTCAGACACGCTTCATGGAGCGGCTTCACGTGCACCCGTCCACGTTGCATACGGCTGCTACAGTGCTGCTGTCACTCTAGCGACTGAGGATGTTGTCCACATTACAAAAAGACAAACTCTTCATGATAACCTTCAATCCCAGTGGGCGACGAGTTGACAGACTCGGCCGTTACGGCTGTGTGTGTGGTCGGACGCGTCAAGGATATACCTACACAACTACACCCTAATGCTCACTCAACCGCCCATTCTGAACACGTCTACTGCCACTCCATACGCCCGGTGGTCTACATTCACTGCCAACGGCCCGCGCGTTACACACGGTCCTCGCCAACTTCAACCCCACCATTTTCACCCCCTCCTCTGTCGTGACTCGAAGAGTCTGGGTAGGGTGCTGCCTTTGGTGAACACATCTGACGTGTCTATGCACGTGCTCAGCTCGAGCTCCAAGGTCAAACAATGACAGGTCATCTGCACGAAGGAATCCAGCAAGGCCAGTGCACCTCGCCATCCCACATTTCAAGCGGAGTGCATAATCGCAAGAATGCAGCTAGAGGGGGGTACCACATCTACATGGCAGCTCCGGAGTGGTTCGAAAATCCCCCACAATCTGGGGAAATGCATTCGAACCAGTAATTGGTGTTACAAACTGCCACGAAGCATTACTTTCCCTGCCAACCACAACCACAATCCACAGGTTGAACCGGGTCGCCAATTCCTTCTGCCATGTAAGATGTGGTCGTGATCACTTTCCACATCATGCGGTGAGTATGGCACACACTGCACGTGAAATTGGCCGCAAATGCAAAGTTGCGGCCAATTTCACATACCTGGCACTTGCGACAAGCGTGCCACCCGCCCCCGCCAACGTGAAATTGGCGAGGGCGCGGTGTACTAGCCCACGACAAAACTAAGGTATTCTTGATCTCGAATAAATTTATTCGAGTTTCCCAGACAAGACACGCCAGGCTACCCAGATACAGTCCCATTCTCCCCGTAGCGAGCGCGTGTACGAAAGAGGAGCACGTAAAAAGAAAAGACATAAGACAAAAACGGGAATCTGGTGTATTGGTCTGGTCAGGTTCTGTGTGAAAATTGCTCATCGAAAGAACCGCAGAGGTCGATTTCGGTCATTCTGCGTGTTCGGTAGGATTCTGATTCTGAAAATTTTTGCACTCAGTTTTGACTGCGTATCCCAGCAAGTGAGCCGTTGGTTAAGAACAAACTGTTTGATGGTTACACTATTCACACTTACCTACCGTAGAAGTTTTAGGGAAGCAAGTTTGGGAAGTTCCTCCAGGGCAGAAGGCAAACATATTTACACGAGGCTTCAACCACAAGTGTACAGTATGGAGAAGAATTTGGAAGTGCTATGTTGCGAATGAAACTCCAAGCGAACCTTCTTCTTGCATGTTTCGCTGTCCGTCATGTGAGACGCATGATTGGGTCTTACAGCTGGCATGAACTCAGAAGGCGAGGGCAAGGACGCTCTTGTCGATTTTCTAGTGTTATGAAAACACGACGGCTCACGTTGCGACACCCATCGGGCAGCTTTCGGACAGCGCGGGTAAAAACATCATGTAAGGGCGCTCTTCAATGATTCATGACACAGTTTCCACGTGCTACAGTTTGCCACGTGCTCTGACACAGTCCCGAAAAGACAGAAGCATGTGTCCCTCAGAAAAGCTCGCGAGAGAAGAAAGCACTGTTAGTGAAATTTTCATTTCATGTGGTCCTTACTTCTAAATGTGTAATTTTTGTACAGTAAAATGACCTGCCAAACGACGCTACGAAGAACGGAGTGGTCTGTTTCTACAGTACATTTCAGTTATGGCAATCCTGCGTTAGTGTGAAACAGTTCAGGTGAATTGGCTTGTCCCGATTCGAGAAACGCGCGCTTTCGATGGAACTTTCTTTCAATACTGTGCCCCCCATTTTGTTCACCACTTGTCTGTGCCGATTTGTTGAACGGCGTGGAGTGCAGCGTGCTCTGTGGCGCCGAACTTCAACGGTGGCGTCGCTTGGCGTTATCCCGTAGGTGAACAGCACAACGCAGTGCCTTCGAGTCAAGGTGGAACGCCTCTAGCCTGAAATTTTAGGGTTGAATTGAGGCTCCCTAAATGGCATGCCTTCCAAGTGGGTTTATTTTTTCTTGCCCGCGGTCAGCTTGCTGACTCAATTGCACTGCCAGCTGACGCTGGCAGTGCAATACATATGCCAAACAAACGCCCTGTTCAGGGTTTAGGGTGCTACATGTACGAGAATCTACGGTCATCGTCCCAAATGCTTGAACGAAGTTTTGAACCAAACTGTAACAGCAATCCTTCCACCCCACTACCACTTCGCCACACCCCACCCCACATGATGCAATTGTATGTTCATGGTTTATTTCTAAATCGATTAGTGATGAACCTACATTGTTTTACCGGAGAACCTCTTACCCTGAACAACTTACAATACTCTCATCCTCTCTCGTTCTGCACGTCCTGCTTTACATCCCCGCTCCGCAGCCTGAATGTCGTCCCCTCGTCCCACTCTCCAGTCTGACGTTCAAGCTCCCCAGTGCCGTTCTCTCGTCCTGCCGATATGGCCCTTCACACTGATAGCCCCTGACGCCGATCTCGTTCAACTCGCGCCCGCGCATATCGAGCAATAAACCATGGCTGCACGCGCGCGCCGTATCGCATCAAATGCATGTGGACGACTCGCTCCGCTCGAGTCACTTCGTGTCGCTCAGATCTCCGCGACTTCCGCCACTACTGCGCCTTCCGCGGGTTTCCGGGACCCCCGCGTCTCCCCTCCTTGCGGCACAGAGCGCGGCGGAGATTCATTGGCAATTCGCTCCTCTCAAGGCACTCCTCCCGTCCTTGCGGGGAACGAGGCGTCAGGTTGGGAATATCAGGTGCTGGCGGGATGTGTCGCGGGATGAACAGGATTTGTCGCCAACAGACCTCCATCAGCATATGTGCCCCTCTGACTGTGTGCGAGGCCCATGGATGTGCCTCCAAGGTGGGTGGGTGAGAGAGGAGGGATGGGGGTCGAATCCACTAGGGTGGGTGAGTGGGAGAAAAGGATGGGGTCTGAAATTCCTAAGGTGCGTGGGTGAGTGGAGAAGGGGAATGGTAGTTCGAAACTCCTAAGATGGGTAGTGAGGAAGAGAGGGACACTGCTGAAACTCCGAGGGTTGGTGAGTGATGGCAGAGATGTGCCAGTGGTGTGGGCGTTGGAGATCACGCCGTTCATGTGGTGCCATGACGCAGTCCAAGCGAGCACTTGGTTCAAGCGAGCATTTGGTCCAAGTGGTCACTATTTTGCCTACTGGGTTCTGGGCTGTGTTGGCAGGAGTCGCCATCTTACCATCTAGCTTGCAGGTCTGCACATGCCAGATGTTTTGAAACATAATCAGCAATCGTGCGGTATACACTGATACAAGTTTCCCAAGAGTATGCTACTGATAACTTCACATTAATGTTGACATCCAAACAGACTTATGCTATGCCCACCACAGCCAGCTCATTTGAAGCATGCTACTCTGCCTCTTACAAAAGCACTTCATTTGACTTCCAATCGACTCTCAGTTCAGTTGGCGTTCTTGTTCTTGGCTTCCTTAGCAGCAGCTGCAGCCTCAACATCAAGCTTGCAGGCCTGCACGTGCCAAATGTCCTTGGCATACTCTGCAATCGTGCGATCACTGCTGAACTTGCTCATGCCTGCTGTGCTCAAAATGCTCATCTTCTCCCACTGGGCCTTGTTCCTCCATGTCTCATCCACCTTAGCCTGCATGGGTGGGGTGTGCATGGGGAGAAGCAAAGGGAGCAGCAAAGGAAGGGGTGACCTAGGTAACCAGAGAGAACCCAGACTGCTGAACTTGCTCATGCCTGCTGTGCTCAGAATGCTCATCTTCTCCCACTGTGCCTTTTCCACGTCTCATCCACTTTAGCCTGTGAGGGGTTGTATGCACAGGGAGCAGCAAACAAGGGGTGAGCCAGGAAGGGGACTAGAGAGCCCACAGTGAGCATGCATGCACACAGGCAGAAAGAAGGCATAGTAGCTCGGGTAAGATGTAAGGTCACTTTTGAAGCAATACTGAGATGTCTCAGCCATGCGGAGACATTGGGAGTGGAGGAGGCAGATTGAGAGGATTGGGCCGTACTAAGGCCTCGAGGTACGAGTGAAAGGATTGGCCCATACCTGGCGTCGTTGGCGAGCAGGTAGAAGTCACCCCCCATGGAGCCGTCCAGCAACTGCAGAGGTGCGTGCCAGGCACCCTACTCCCGAATAATCAGTGAGAGTAAGAGGATCTGAGCCGTACCTGGGCCTGGAGGTAGGAGGGGAAGTCGTTGGCGAGCAGGTAGAAGTCACCCCCCATGGAGCCGTCCAGCGACTGCACGAGCGGGGCGAAGTAGTCCACCCACCCAAACTGGCCATTGCGGATCATGCTGTGGTGGAGAAGCAGGAGGGGAAGGAAGGGAAATGGGGACAAGGGGGGAAGGAGAGAGGAAGGAAGAGGGATTGAAGTTACCGTGCATTTGAGAAATGGTGGGTGTGAGAAGGGAAGGAAGAGACTGAGGTCCAGTATGGAGGTGCAAGGTGCAGAGGTCAGGCATGTGCAGCAACATGCTACGCCTTTTGTTCACTTTCTTTTCAGTCTAATCTGCCGTGTTATATTGAGGTAGTTGGGCTTACTTGACAGCGTTGGTGAAGCGGCCGTCTGGGTTGTAGCCTGGCCGCTCGCGACGCAGGCGAGCAACCTCGTGCTCTCGCACACCGAAGATGAACTGGCGGTGACAGGGAGGGAGGGAGGAAGGGGGGGTTCAGGAGAGGGAATGATGGGCGTTGATGAGGAGTCGATGTGTGCCATGCTCCCTACCCCTGAACCAGTCGTTTCATGCTCCTGCCATGCTCCAAGACGACCTTTGCAGCCCACCACATCCGCACAAACCCCCAATCCACCATCGTTGGTCCACTCCCCCCAACTAACAGTCACCCCCAACCCACTCCCAACCCGCCCAACCCACTACCACCCGTCCACGCACCATGTTCTCCTCGCCAATCTCCTCTGCAATCTCCACATTGGCGCCATCCATGGTGCCGATGATGAGCCCCCCGTTCATGGCGAACTTCATGTTGGACGTGCCACTCGCCTCCGTGCCCGCCGTGCTGTAAGGGAGGGAGGGGGAGCGGGAGGGGTGAGGGGCAACACAATATCATCAACGAAAGCGTTTGCGCAGAACTCAGGAATAGAGGGTGAAAGGCGAGACGAGCGGGGAAAGCAGCAGCGGAGAAAGGAGGGTAAAATACGAGGTATGGGCGACTCCATACCCCAGATTTTTTAGGGTTCCAGAAAGCATTCTGAGGGGCAGAGGGCGCACCTGATGTGCTGCGAAAGATCGCTGGCGGGGATGATGATCTCAGCAAGGGAGACGTTGTAGTCGGGCAGGAAGACGAGCTTGAGCAGGTCGCCCACAGCGGGGTCGTTGTTGATCTTCTCCCCTACGGCGCTGATGAGCTTGATGATGCGCTTCGCCATCTCATACCCTGGCGCTGCCTTGCCGCCCAGCAGCACCACCCGTGGCACCACCCGGCACTTGTCCTCCGGAGACATGCGCTGGCGGAGATGGTAGGGGGGGGGGGAGGAAGAGTGGGGGCGAGGACGGGCAGGAAGAGAGCAAGCTTTGAGTCAGACTTGGAAGCACACCACACGCAGGGCACAGGGTGAGGAGGGGTGAGTGTGGGAGAGATGATGGGAGAGAGTGATTTTAAAAATGTTTACAGAGGACATGCGCTGGAGATGGCAGGGGAGAGGCCGACAGGTGAGTGGGGGAGTGAGGATGGGTGGGAAGGAAGCAAGGAAGCGGGGTGGGAGGGGGGAGAGGGGAGGGGAAGGGGAAAACGAAGACGAACCAAAAAGGGTAAGAAGCGATTTTCCTGGTATTTCTGCATAATAGCCCTGGTGTTCAGCTGTGGATCCAAAGAGTGTGGACTTTCTGTATAGTTCTATTGTATCTCGTCACAAGGGAGGTACCTTGATCTCCTCGTAGCGGTGGATGACAGAGAGCACGTTGAGCAGCTGCCTCTTGTACTCGTGAATGCGCTTCACTTGAATGTCAAACAGCGCCTCCGTGCTCACCTGCTCACAATGCCACCAGCCATGCCTCCCATACCAACATGCCATGCCACCAGGCCATGTCATGACATCCCATACGCCAACATGCCATACGATGTAAGATATGCCATCCATTACACACAACGCACCACACACATATCACCAGATTCTGTGAAACCCCGCTGACCGCCATTATTCCTTAAAATTCCCTCGACATAATGGATGCGTGGGGTGCACTTTGACAGCAGAGACGGCAACAACAGCAAGAAGAGCAAGAGGAGCTGGAGGAGCAAAAATGCAAGAGAAGAAAGGGCAGAAAGGACGCAGGAGCAGCAACAGCAGCACGCACCTTGACACCAGTGAGCTTGAGAATGACGTCAGCGAGCTTCTGCTTATTCTGCTGCTTCACCTACAGATGACGAAACGCAACATAAGTCATCCAGGCAGAAACAATGTAAAAGGGAGGAGGGTTAGTTCGTGACCCTTGTGCGTGTAACGACCCCTCAGAATGAAGCCACAACACCACGCTACATCAAACTACATCTCAGCGAACCACCACACCCCAAAACACGGCCATGTGGCGCACCTCTCTCCAGCGCTTCTGAAAGGCGGAGTCGTCCGCCCTGCCCCTGAGCGCCTTGATCTTCTCGAGGTCCGACACCCAGTCGTCCGACCCCACCACCTCGTCCGCCAGCGCGCGCAGCCCCGGGTTGCAGAATGCCAGCCAGCGCCGCTGTTAGGGAGCACGAAAGGGGCAAGTTAGGGTTTTGGGTTGAATGATGGGCGAGAGATAGAGGGTTTAGATGCGTAGCCCGGGTTGCAGAACGCCAGCCAGCGACGGTGCAAGGGAGCACGAGGGTATAAGAGGGTTTAGGGATGAGTGGATAAGGGGCGAGAGTTAAAGGTGCTGGATGCTATGGTGGGCGGGGTTGCAGAATGCCAGCCAGAAGCGCAGCAAGGAATCACACTGGCGTAGGGTAGGTTAGGGTTGAAAGCAGGGAGGCGATTTGGATAAAAGGGGGGTGGGTTAGAAGAGCTGCCACTGGCGCCGCTTCACACTGTGAGAAGCACATAGGCCAATGGAGGACACAGGATGGATGTACGTCGTAATTCTATAGCTGTGTGGTATAGATCCATCTTGGAACGTTGCCACGAGTCACTCAAAGGAGAAGAATTGTTACAACAAGAGAGCAACTGACCTGGGTGACTCCATTTGTCTTGTTCTGGAACTTGTGGGGCCACAGCTCATAGAATTCCTGCAGAACGGGTAGGAAGGGAGAGCAGGGATGAGAGCAGGGGACAGAAGTAATAAGAATCCCATGTAAGACCGTGTGCTCCAGACAATTTGAGGGCCCGTCACAGTGGAAGACGGGGGTTTCACGACCAGGCGGGGATGCTACTTCAGACAGCAACCATCTGGTTAGACGGGTGCTCGTACCTTGAAAATGGTTTGCTTGATGAGCTCCGAGTGAATGGCAGCCACGCCGTTGACACACTGTGACGCCACGATTGCCAAATTCGCCATGCGCACGTTCTGCCATCCAAAGGGCAAGGGAGGGAAAGTCATTGTATTTCCATCTCGCGCCGTCATTGTATTTCCATCTCGCACCCTAAACCCACGTTTCACCACCCCTATTGCAAGTGGGAAAAACGACACCTAGGAGGGAGCTCGCAACATTTTAGAGCACCAATAGATGTTACTCTTAGTGCGTATTCCATGATTCTTGCCTTTCCCCCCTCCCTTGGCACAACTTGACCTCCTCCTGTTTCTCTCGACCGCATCACACCTCGACCTCTCACTCTCAGCCGCGTCACACACCTTGACTTCGCCCTCCTCGATGATGGACATGCGCGAGGAGCGCGAGAAGTCGTCGCCAAAGCGCGACTTCACCAGCTGCATGAACTCGAAGTTGATCTGGTAGATAATCTGCGCAACCACCACACGGCCAACGCGCAGACGACGGACAAAGTCAGCAGAGCACACGAAACGCGGCACGACTTCCTACACAAATACTCCACTGGAAAACTCTCACAACATAGCGGAGGTACAGAACGCAGTGCGAATAGCATCATCCAGTCAGAACCCCCCCACCCCTCACCTGCATATGGCGCGGCAGCAGGCTCTCCATGAGGCTGACGGGCCACTTCTCGAGGGCTTCGGGCAGCACGGTGTGGTTGGTGAAGGCGAACACCTTCTGCGTGATCTGCCACGACAGCGTCCACCCCAGCCCCTCCTCGTCCATCAGCAGCCGCATCAGCTCCGCCACGCTGATGGTCGGATGCGTGTCGTTCAGCTGCATCGCCGCCTGGTGATGGAATGCGCACAACGTGGTGGGTGGGGAGGAGTGGTGCGAGAAGCGGGGGGGTGGTATAATGTGGGAACGGGGGGACGGGAGACGAAAGGGGGGAAAGAGAGGGGGGAAAGCGAGGAGTGGAGGGCAGAGCAGGAGGGTAGCGGTTAGCAGCGGGAAATCACAACACGCCAAGATGCTGCAATCAGTAGCGGACTGTAGTCTCGCGCATTTAAGAGATTCCGAGCTCAGAAACGCGAAGCCACAAATGACGTGGACGAACCTTCTCGGGGAGCTTAGTGAAGTCAGTTTCGGTCCTCTTGAAGCGGCGGATGATGTCCTGCAGCGAAGCGGACACCATGAAGAACTGCTGCTTCAGCCGCAGCTCCTTGCCCTGCGGCTTGCGGTCGTCGGGGTACAGCACGCTGCTGATCGTCTCCGCGCGCTGCCTGCAGGGCGAGCGATGGTTAGGTGGGGCAGGACAGCAACAAGATTTGGAAGCGGGCATGGTGTTCAACGAAAATGGAACAAGGGGAAGTGAGAAAGGAAGGAACGAGGATCAAACGATTAAAGCAGGGAGGGGGAGGGGAAGGGGAGGAGTGGGGGGACAAGGGCAATCATGGGAATTACTATCTCATAACAAGCTGCAGACGATGCAGGAGAGGAGGCATACTTGGAGAGAATGGCAGCGACGTAATCGCCAGTGTTGAAGGACTGCAGATCGAACTCCGTGGACGGCTTGCCGGCCCACAGGCGCAGGTTGATGGTGTTGTTGGTGCCATAGCCGGGCACTGGATTGTCGTACGCCACAGCTTGGACCTACGGCCACGATCAGAGAGAGACGATGATGAGAGATGAACGTGCCACAGACCCTGAACAGGTTGTTATTCAAGTTGCTGGACAACACATTGGAGCAAACGATGGTTTGCGAGTGAGGCAGTGGAGGGTGCACCTGCTCGCCGGGAACCCAGTTGAAGCGCTGGTAGCCCCTGCTGTCCGTGTACTGCTCCACGTGGCCGTAGAACTGCCCAAGTCGGAACGAAAGATGCAAGCACGAGATGGTGAGAATGCGACGTGTTAATGACAATTCCGAAGGCCGGCAGACAGTCACTACCTAGTCCTGTGCTTGTTTTTCTTATGGCTATGATAAGAAGCCAGAACCAATTTCGCGCCAGATTTGAAACACTACATTTCCGTTTCCTGCTGATCCTTGGGTTTCTCGTTCCATTGTTCACTGTTACTCGTTCCCAAACCTTGCAGTTGTCACTAATTCAGCTCAAGCTCACCTTCACAGTGTACGAAATGTTAGTCCGTTCAATCTCCCTGCGCAGCACAGAACGCAGACACGAAATGGTAGCTTCGTGACAGCACAAATAAAACGGTAGATTGTGTGTGATCTTGGGAAAGAAACATGGTTCGTGGGAAGATGCTGTGCATACCAAGGATTGCCGAAGGTGAGCCAGTAGTCGGGCTGCTCGTGCTGGAACCCATTCTCAAGGGTCTGACGGAACATGCCGTACTGGTAGCGAATGCCGTACCTGCACAATCCAGAAAACACCAATGTTAACTTCCTGTTGGCATTACTGAAAGCAACGCATGGAAAAACGTCAGCGAGAGCAGTGGTAGGAAAGCCTTTTGGTTTTCGTCAGGAAGATCAGGCGCGTACCCCCATCCGGGAAGGTCGAGGGTGGCGATACTGTCAAGAAAGCAGGCTGCGAGCCTGCAGAGCAACGCGGGAGAGAAGCATCAGGGAACCGCATTATGCAACTCTTGCACGAAATCGGTCAGTTTGCGTAAGAATAGCGCATCATCACTATGCTGGGATATCAGCAGCTCATTACCTTCCAAGACCACCATTGCCGAGTGCAGCATCACGCTCCTGCTCCACAATATCTTCCAGCTTGTACCCAAGCTGCGCATTGGAACATCAGAATATTTTAGCAAACTTCATCTATTCAATAGGACCAAACAATGAATGCTCGCATGCGCAAATTCATATTATAATACCTGTGAGAGAGCCTGGGCGTAAACATCATGCAGGTTGAGATTGTAGAGGCTGTTAAGCAGCGACCGGCCTGTACAACGAAAATTTGACGACGAAAAGTCAGTGGAGCTCGCGACCCGGTTATCATTGTTACTCCCTTTACTCAAAATTATCATCATTGACTACGCGTACCCATGAGGAACTCCATGGAGAGGTAGTAGACACGCTTGGGGTCAGCGGCACGGAAGTGCTCGTTGGTGTCATTCCAGCTCTCGATCAGGCGATCCCTCACGCTGTGAGCCACCGCTTGATAGCACTCATACGAGTCGAAACTGCAGTACAGAAGAAAGGGGAAAAAGAACAGGTATGTAAAACTCAGACATATCAGGTCGCTAGATCGCTAGAAATCCTGCTGAATGCGACAAGCGGTGTTCCTGCTGCTGCAGATAGACCAGAATGCAATTCTTAGAACCGCTTATTTCACGTACTGGTGGCGATCACGAGCGAGAGTGTATTCGACATGGTTCACGATGCTCTCTTGAATGGAAAGCACGTCGTTGCTCAGATACACATCCTTGAGCCGCTTCCGGAGGTCCACTACGGGGCTCTCAACCTGCACCGCGGAGGGACGCACGGCTGGAGGAGACGCCACGGGGACGGCCAGAACCTCGAGAGCCTTCTTCAAAACCTGTTCGGACATGCGGTAAGCGATAGAAATTGCAACGGATATAAGACAGTTTAGTTGGCCAATGTTTGAAAGCTTGGACGTGTCGGGCAAGATATGCTTGAACATAACTCAGTTTGTGAAACATTATGTGGAAAAAAAAAGAGGAAGCTTTCATTCTCACATCGAGTTCAGCCGGATCTTCAATCTTGTTGCCAGCAGCGTTCTGGACGTAAAAGGTATCCAGAACCGCATCATCAGCAGTACCCACCAGAGCCCTCACCACCTGGACGTTTAAATCCCTGTGAAAAAAGCCACGCGTTAGATCCTTCCTGATCGGCAAATAACGAAGCCACGAATGAGTACAACTTTCATTCACATACCTGAAAACTGAGGTGACGCGATTCAACAGACCGGGCTGGTTCAGAGCAGACAGTTTGACAATGGTCCATTGAGGCTCGGAGTTGTCAATCTCAATGGTAACAGACGCTGTTTCAGCAGCGGTAATCCCGTCAGCGACAGTAGCAGTCACTTTGAGGGTCTTTCGAACATTGGATGCTCCAGCCGAAACGGAAGAAACAGAGACGCGGTTTCCAAGAAACGGGCTCTTCTTTGGGATAGCAACGCTAGAGACTGCTCCGTTCTGCTTCGTCTGGGCTGCAACCGACCCAGCAACGGCTACGCGGGTGGGATTAGCAATGGCTGCCATCTCGGCGAGCACGCGAGAGCAACGAATACTACTCAGCACTTTCTCACGAGCTAGGGGGAATCTGACAAAGGGACACTAAGTTACTTCAAAGACACCACAGGATGAATGGCAGAGGCAAGGGAGCTCTGAAACAGGTTTCAGGAATCTGAAGCTCCTGATTTGGAGCAGATGGAAGGGGAACAACTCGCAAGGGGGACTTGAAAATGGAATCACAGATCGGGGAGGGAATGGAGCGGGAGGGATGGATGGGATGGGATGATCATAGATGGCCTTGCTCACAAGTGGCCTTGGGATTTGTTTTTACAGGTTCGGTTGAAAGGGATGCAGCGGGTTTTTTCCGGAATAACGAGTGACAGCTGCTCTCGAGGGGTAACCGCTTTGACCAATGCGAGCTCAGGCTTGAGTGAGTGTGCAAATGAACAGCGATGTACAGCAATCACGCCTCGACGCGTCAGCTGCCACATCCCCTGATATTTTGCGGCTCAGCCTCTAGCCTTCCCCATTTTCCAGATAAATGGGGACATCGCCACATTGCTTGGGGAAATGCGCGCCGAATCTGGGTTACGGCGTGCCAGAGTGTGCGACACCAAGATGCCTCAATTCGAGCATCGCGTATGGCGAGAGAAGCGGGGAATGACCTGTAAAGGTCCTGGGCACGTGCGCCTTGCCCAAATGTAAAAAGATTGCTCATAAAATACATGGATCAATGAAATGCTACCTCTGTTCACCTACTAATCTGCTACCATATAAAAAGTGCGTCCATGATCCTATGGATTGTGGTGTGCAAATAGGGCTGAAACAAATGATGCAAGGTGTAAGTGAGCATGAAAAGTCAGCTGATGTACTCGCCACACCCTCGTATCCACACCAATAATTTCTTAGGGTTTAAAAGGGTATCGATAGCATGTGAGAATTTAGTGCTACAGAATGTCAAGCAACTTTCCATCCTGCACTTCAAAAAGAGACCAAAGCAGCCAACGAATATTGGGCAGGCTCAGAGTTTCTATGAATGCTTCACTGCTGTGCCCCAGCATATGCAGCAGCAGCAGCACTAAACCAATCCAACACACACATGCACTCTTCTGCGCTTGAAACATGCTATGCCAATCACCTATACACTGCTTCTCTTATGCACTTGCTCCTGTGCCACTAGGCCCAGATGCACCCGCACCCATCCCCCCAACCATCCCCCCACCCACTGCGGCCCCATCCCCTGCACCAGCAGCAGAACCATGCCACCCCAGCACCCACATCCCTGCCGCCGCTGCAGCCGCCGCCGCTGCCGCCGCAGCCTCATGCCCCGGCATTGTTGCTGGCGCTCCAGACACCGTTCCCCCTACCCCCGCCGCCCCTCCCGCTGCTGACGTGGCAGCTGACACGTCAGCTGCTCCGTCCCCTCTCATCCGCTTCTGCAGATGCTCCAGGCTCGAAACCCGCTGCAGGCTGCCCAATCGCTCTATCTTTCCGCCCGCGCTTCCAGTCGGCTCTGCAGGAGTGCCACCGGTGCCCCCCCCTCCTGCTCCCCCGCCTGTTCCTCCTCCGCTGCTCCCCTCTCTCACCCCCCCTGATGGCGACCCTCCCCCTCCTCCAACCCCTCCTGTTGTTGTCCCGCCTGGTACTAATCCTCCTCCTCCTGCTGATGCTGCTGCACCTGCGGCCGCCGCTGCTGCAGCAGCTGCATAAGCAGCATGGGCAGCAGCAGCAGAGGACGAACCAGGTGCTCCCATTCCTCCCGAGCCATCCCCTCCAGGTACGGCACCAGGCATGGACCCCACCATACCTGCCGGTACCATACCTGCCTGCATCATACCATACACGTTCGGGTCCATGCCTGGCGGTAACCCCAGGCCCGGCAGGAGGTTCGGGTGCATGGCAGACGGCGGGGCCCCATTGGCTTGGTGCGGGTCGAGGGAGAGAGAAGCAGCATGGGCGGCGTGAGAGGCATGAGAGGCCTGAGCTGCCTGGGCGGCATGGGCGGCATGAGAAGCCTGGGCGGCGTGGGCGGCGGCGTGGGGAGGGAGCGGGTAAGGAGCGGGTGGGGGTATGGAGCCTTGGGCTGCGCGGTGGGGGCGGGGATAGTAAGGAAGATCGATGGGTGAGGGGTATGGCATGGCAGCAGCAGCAGCGGCGGCGGCAGCAGCGGCGGAAGCTGCGTCGTGGCGGAACGCCATTGGCTGGTGGTACATGTACTGTGCCATGTGGGCGACACGTCCCACCATCTCCTCTGCCATCTTCACCTGCGAAGGAGGAAAAGGACGGGAGAGAGACAGACACAGAGGCACAGAGGCACAAGGTTATCCACAGAAAAAGCCACACGCAGCCACCCAGTTTGACTCTAGGGCTTCTGATTCACACGAAACTCCCAAACCCTAAACCAGCCCGACCTTTACTCCCTGCCTGACCCAATCCGCTCCCTACCTTGGCGCGCAGTGCTTCCACGTCGGATTTGAGCACGCGGTTGTCTACAGCCGCCTCGTTGTATTTCCGCCCAATCTCCCCCAGCCGGCTCGCAAGACTCGCGTTTTCCGCCTGAAGCTGCTGCACGTGCCCCTCCAGGTCGCTCACGTGCGCCTGCTTGCGCCGCCGCGACCGCCGCGCCGACTCGCGGTTCGACAGCATGCGCTTCACCCTCTTAATCTCCTCGGGGTCCGTTAGGTGTTCTAAGGACGCCACTAACTCACACTCTCCCTCAGACCGCGCGCCCTCGCCGTCGGATCGGGGCTCTTCGGATGCCTCCCGGGAGGAATGCCCGCGCGCGGACCCTGCCCCTGCTGCTCCCCCTCCTCCTCTTCCCCCGCCGGATGCTCCCCCTGCTGCTGTAGCGCCTGTTGCGCCGTGGGTTGCGGGTCTGTGAGCGGGAGGATGGGCCTGAAAGCCACGACGGGGAGGGCTGGCTATGCCTGCTGCTCTTCTTCCCGCACCGCCGCCGCCTCCGCCGCCGCCTGGGGCGAGAGCCATGCTGGGCGCCGCCGACGGCGGGGAGAAGCCCGATGCCGACCCCGCGCCGCCGACAGTTGTCGCACCCCCTCCGGGAGCAGAGGCCGCTGCGCCGCCGCCACCGCCGCCGCCGTCGCTGCCGGCTATAGCGCCCGCATTCGTATCCGTCCGCGGGCCTGGCCCCGCCTCCCCCCCAGAAGCCTTCCCCAACCCGCTGAGCCCAAGCCGCTGCTGTTCTCCGCCTGCCTCTCCGCCCTGCTTCCCCCCACCCTCTCCACTTCCTGCTCCCGCCCCCGCCCCCGCTCCTGCTCCCGTCCCCCCACCTGCGCCACCCGGGCCTTCCGCTCCGCCGTCTATGCCGCGATAGTACGACGCGAGATTAAGCTTCGACGGACTGTCTCCTAGCAGCTTATCGAGGCTCGAGACCTGGCTGAGTCCCGGAATTAACGGGTTCATTCCAGGCGGACCCATACCGGGCGCGCCGGCGGCGTTCCCGCCGCCAATTGCGGCGGCTCCTGCGGTGCCTAGTGCTCCCACTCCGGTTAGACCCTGCTCTTTAACGAATTCGTGAAACGCCCATTCTGAGGAGCTGCGGTTCATACGGTGGAACGAGCCTGTACGCGGTATAGGACGCTGTAACTCGCTACCGCCACCGCCACCAACCCCACCGGCTACTCCGGGCGGATGGCCGGGGAATGGGATCCCCGGGGGGAGCATAGAGGGAGGCGGGAACATTCCGCCGGTTGCTGCGGCTGCGGCAGCGGCGGACGCCGCCGCAGCCGCATCTCCCTGCGCGTCGACTTTCCAGAACGTGCCGAGAATATCGTCTACTGAAAATACTCGTTCCATCTTCTATGTTTGCCTCCGACGACGTGGCCTACAAATTAACTAATTTACCGACCAAAAATCCAGCAATTTCGACAAATCTTTTTTAAATTCCTGAGAAGGCGGTCACTCTAGAAAACGAACCCCAGACGGCGAGTGTGCCGAGCTGATCAGTCAATTCGAAACGGCGGCCTGGGGACTTGAGTCGAAAAGGTAAAAGGACTGGTTCTAGTGACGAGGCGAGTTCGAAAAGGGTCGAGCTTAGCTCAGCGGGAGGGTATGACAGCGAAGAGGGCGGGGGGGGAGGGAGGGAGGGTGACGAAGTGTGCGCTGGTCCTGACTCACGCCAGCTGCAACACAACCCCAAGGCAGCAGTCAGCACAGCATTGGGGGGGCAACCGCACCTGCCAGCGAGAAGCGCAAGAATTCGAGGCGAGCGGGTAGGAGTCGATTTGATGGCTTCTGAATCAGCGCGACTTTCCGCGGATAGGCGGAAGAAATTTTCTGTTTGCCGTGGCCCTCTGGCCTTGATGTTGGAGCAGCTAGATGCGATGCGGGTGGATGAGAAAAGTCGAGGCGTGAAAGACGAGCGCTAACATGACGTGGAATCTCGTCTAACCAGCTATGATTCTGGCACGGCGAAAGGTATGGATAGCTTCCCGCCACCCGTACTCAAGTGACTCTGCCACGTGTTAAGTACGGTTGGGCTCACGACAGCGTGCCGCGAAAGCAAGCTGTAGTATCTACTTCGTCAAGCCAGCAAGTACCTCAAGGTTGGATGAAATTTGCGAAACAAGTAGTTGAGGGTAACGGCCTCGCGAACCACAAATTTCGAGCGCAGGCTCGGCAGCAAGCTGAGCCAGCGGAGTCACCGCGAGGTCCGTCAGCGATGGCGTCAAATGATGTGGCGCTGGATAAGGTGGGTCCGTGGCAAAGCGCCAAGGCGACGCGACACACCAACAAACCGAGCAAATCCCCAAGATCCCCGACGGATCTAGAAAGTCTTCCGGCTCCAGGCCGATTTGCTTCTGGCGAAAATGGCAACTTTGGAAAACCTCTCTGTACATACCAATCTGCTAAACATATACACTTACACTGCACACATAATCACTTGTTTCCAACAATACCGTAAAAATATTTTATTTGGCACAAACGCCACCACACCAATGCTCTGCTGATGGTTGGAAACAGAAAACACAAACATAAGCATTCGGGTAAAAGATGCTTTTGTGATCACTACAGTAACCAAACCAGAGTAAGCAGATTTTCTTCTCAGTAGCGGCTGCCGGTCTTGCGGTGGTGCAGTGCTGTGAGGGTTTTTTTCGTCCTGTTAGCGGTTCGGGCCGGAAAGAATGGAGGAATACGAATTAAAATGCCCGCAAAATGCACGAGTGAAGGTAAGGGAGCATTGCAAGCAACCAGCTGGTCACGAGAGGGACGAGAGATGAATATTAGACGTATCAATTCTCCAAAGATAATACATGGTAACCACATGTGCAAAACCATGTGATTACAGGGAATGGACATGGCGGCGCATTGCTATGCCCTTTCTTGAGGAAAGAGCTTCGAAGGAGGGGAAAATGAGAGAAATGTTACTGGCAGTGGGAAAGAGATAGGCAGCTTGAGTGACGGGGGTGGGAGCAGGAGAGAGTGAGGGGAGGGAGGGGCAGGTAAAGGGAGGGAGAGGGACTGACCATGACGTCTCCAGAATCAACGGTGGCGTAGACGACCCAGTGGTCGCCCGTCTCCATGCGCGTTTGCACCGTGCACTCCATGTAGGAGATCTGATGTGCAATTGCAGGTTGACAGATTTGGTTGGAAGGAGACAGCGAGCGAAAAGGAAACTTGTTAGCATGTGCGTTTGGCGTAGATAACCCCGTGGCCACCAGACTCCATGTGCGTTTGCACCGTGCACTCCATGTAGGAGATCTGATGTGGGAAGAATGGGAGAGAGTTGGGAACTTGAATCTCTAGGGTGCTCGTATGTCCATTCAAAAACATCTGCTACAGGAGCAGATGCGCAAGCACAGGGAGCCTGGGACCACAGAAACAACACCAGGCAAGCTGGTAATGCTGCTGCTGAGGGATGTGAGCCCTTGACTCAAAGAAACATTCAATGAACAAGATGGGGCATCAGGCACCCCATGTGCTCCACCACCCCATGGTACCCCATGTGCTCCAGGCACCACCGGGCATCCCACCCCACACACATACCGCGTCTGCCAGGATGGTGGCGCCGTTGCTGGCCTGCTTGGTCGGGAGATCGCCGAACCTGGGCTCGCCGGGCTGGAACGGCTTGAGAAGCTGCTTGGAAACTGCGCCAACGTTCTTCTCCCCAAGCACGCTCAAGGCAAACTTGCCTCCCACCAGCACCAGCGACTCCAGCGCCCTCTCCTTGGCCACCTGTGAGGGGGAGAGGGGGAGGGGGATGGTCACATGGGGGAGGAAGGTGTGTGGGGGATAAGGGGGAGCACGCTCAGGGCGAATTTCCCCCCCACCAGCACGAGCGACTCAACCTTGGCCACCTGGTGGGGAGGGGGAGTGGGGAAGGGGGATGGTCACATGGGGGAGGAAGGTGTGTGGGGGAGAAAAGGGAGCACGCTGAGAGAGAATTTGCCCCCTACCAGCACCAGCGGCTCAAGTGCCCTCTCCTTGGCCACCTGTGAGGGGGAGAGGGGGAGGGGGATGGTCACATGGGGGAGGAAGGTGTGTGGGGGATAAGGGAGAGCACGCTCAGGGCGAATTTCCCCCCCACCAGCACGAGCGACTCAACCTTGGCCACCTGGTGGGGAGGGGGAGTGGGGAAGGGGGATGGTCACATGGGGGAGGAAGGTGTGTGGGGGAGAAAAGGGAGCACGCTGAGAGAGAATTTGCCTCCTACCAGCACCAGCGGCTCAAGCGCCCTCTCCTTGGCCACCTGTGAGGGGGAGAGGGGGAGGGGGATGGTCACATGGGGGAGGAAGGTGTGTGGGGGATAAGGGGGAGCACGCTCAGGGCGAATTTCCCCCCCACCAGCACGAGCGACTCAACCTTGGCCACCTGGTGGGGAGGGGGAGTGGGGAAGGGGGATGGTCACATGGGGGAGGAAGGTGTGTGGGGGAGAAAAGGGAGCACGCTGAGAGAGAATTTGCCCCCTACCAGCACCAGCGGCTCAAGTGCCCTCTCCTTGGCCACCTGTGAGGGGGAGAGGGGGAGGGGGATGGTCACATGGGGGAGGAAGGTGTGTGGGGGATAAGGGAGAGCACGCTCAGGGCGAATTTCCCCCCCACCAGCACGAGCGACTCAACCTTGGCCACCTGGTGGGGAGGGGGAGTGGGGAAGGGGGATGGTCACATGGGGGAGGAAGGTGTGTGGGGGAGAAAAGGGAGCACGCTGAGAGAGAATTTGCCCCCTACCAGCACCAGCGGCTCAAGTGCCCTCTCCTTGGCCACCTGTGAGGGGGAGAGGGGGAGGGGGATGGTCACATGGGGGAGGAAGGTGTGTGGGGGATAAGGGAGAGCACGCTCAGGGCGAATTTCCCCCCCACCAGCACGAGCGACTCAACCTTGGCCACCTGGTGGGGAGGGGGAGTGGGGAAGGGGGATGGTCACATGGGGGAGGAAGGTGTGTGGGGGAGAAAAGGGAGCACGCTGAGAGAGAATTTGCCTCCTACCAGCACCAGCGGCTCAAGCGCCCTCTCCTTGGCCACCTGTGAGGGGGAGAGGGGGAGGGGGATGGTCACATGGGGGACGAAGGTGTGTGGGGGATAAGGGGGAGCACGCTCAGGGCGAATTTCCCCCCCACCAGCACGAGCGACTCAACCTTGGCCACCTGGTGGGGAGGGGGAGTGGGGAAGGGGGATGGTCACATGGGGGAGGAAGGTGTGTGGGGGAGAAAAGGGAGCACGCTGAGAGAGAATTTGCCCCCTACCAGCACCAGCGGCTCAAGTGCCCTCTCCTTGGCCACCTGTGAGGGGGAGAGGGGGAGGGGGATGGTCACATGGGGGAGGAAGGTGTGTGGGGGATAAGGGAGAGCACGCTCAGGGCGAATTTCCCCCCCACCAGCACGAGCGACTCAACCTTGGCCACCTGGTGGGGAGGGGGAGTGGGGAAGGGGGATGGTCACATGGGGGAGGAAGGTGTGTGGGGGAGAAAAGGGAGCACGCTGAGAGAGAATTTGCCTCCTACCAGCACCAGCGGCTCAAGCGCCCTCTCCTTGGCCACCTGTGAGGGGGAGAGGGGGAGGGGGATGGTCACATGGGGGAGGAAGGTGTGTGGGGGATAAGGGGGAGCACGCTCAGGGCGAATTTCCCCCCCACCAGCACGAGCGACTCAACCTTGGCCACCTGGTGGGGAGGGGGAGTGGGGAAGGGGGATGGTCACATGGGGGAGGAAGGTGTGTGGGGGAGAAAAGGGAGCACGCTGAGAGAGAATTTGCCCCCTACCAGCACCAGCGGCTCAAGTGCCCTCTCCTTGGCCACCTGTGAGGGGGAGAGGGGGAGGGGGATGGTCACATGGGGGAGGAAGGTGTGTGGGGGATAAGGGAGAGCACGCTCAGGGCGAATTTCCCCCCCACCAGCACGAGCGACTCAACCTTGGCCACCTGGTGGGGAGGGGGAGTGGGGAAGGGGGATGGTCACATGGGGGAGGAAGGTGTGTGGGGGAGAAAAGGGAGCACGCTGAGAGAGAATTTGCCCCCTACCAGCACCAGCGGCTCAAGTGCCCTCTCCTTGGCCACCTGTGAGGGGGAGAGGGGGAGGGGGATGGTCACATGGGGGAGGAAGGTGTGTGGGGGATAAGGGAGAGCACGCTCAGGGCGAATTTCCCCCCCACCAGCACGAGCGACTCAACCTTGGCCACCTGGTGGGGAGGGGGAGTGGGGAAGGGGGATGGTCACATGGGGGAGGAAGGTGTGTGGGGGAGAAAAGGGAGCACGCTGAGAGAGAATTTGCCTCCTACCAGCACCAGCGGCTCAAGCGCCCTCTCCTTGGCCACCTGTGAGGGGGAGAGGGGGAGGGGGATGGTCACATGGGGGACGAAGGTGTGTGGGGGATAAGGGGGAGCACGCTCAGGGCGAATTTCCCCCCCACCAGCACGAGCGACTCAACCTTGGCCACCTGGTGGGGAGGGGGAGTGGGGAAGGGGGATGGTCACATGGGGGAGGAAGGTGTGTGGGGGAGAAAAGGGAGCACGCTGAGAGAGAATTTGCCCCCTACCAGCACCAGCGGCTCAAGTGCCCTCTCCTTGGCCACCTGTGAGGGGGAGAGGGGGAGGGGGATGGTCACATGGGGGAGGAAGGTGTGTGGGGGATAAGGGAGAGCACGCTCAGGGCGAATTTCCCCCCCACCAGCACGAGCGACTCAACCTTGGCCACCTGGTGGGGAGGGGGAGTGGGGAAGGGGGATGGTCACATGGGGGAGGAAGGTGTGTGGGGGAGAAAAGGGAGCACGCTGAGAGAGAATTTGCCTCCTACCAGCACCAGCGGCTCAAGCGCCCTCCTTGGCCACCTGTGAGGGGGAAAAAGGTAAGAGAAGAAAACGAGGAGGTTGGGTAGAGGTGCATGAGGGGTTGGATGGAAAATGGGGAGAGAGTAACGTGAGGGGTTCGAAGAAACATTGAGGTTCGATCAATTTCTTACTGCATTTCTTTCTTTCTTTTTTGAAGAACGACCGCTTTCGTTCCCGCCGCATAAGTTCGAGAATAAAGTTTTCGCTTGAGGTTTTGGGCATGGCATGATAGTCGCATGGCATGGCGGATGGCAGGGGCATAGCATGGCATGATGGGGGCATGGCATGGCATGATGGGGCCATAGGACATGGGTTAGGCATGGCATGGCATGACATGGGGGAGGATGAACCCACAGCAACGGTGAGGCCAGGAGGGTTGAAAGAGGCTTGGGAGACCCACGAGGCGAGCATGGCACTCTGAGCGTCACCGTCCCCACTGATGGCTGATACCACACACAGCGACCCCACCACCCGCCCCACCGCCTGCCATGATGGGGGGGATGGAGGGGATAGAGGGGATGGAGGCATGGACCAGCTGAATAGGCAGATATTGAAGAGAAGTCTGAAAGGCGACACGGGTTTACGCATCACAGCAACCCACCTGCTCCACTCCCGACCCACAGCTGACTTGGCTGATGCTTAAAAAAACTGTTAAAAGCGGCACAGGGTTAAGCATCGTAACAACACACCTGCTCCACTCCTGACCCACAGCTGACTTGGCTGATGCTTAAAAAAACTGTTAAAAGCGGCACAGGGTTAAGCATCGTAGCAACACACCTGCTCCACTCCTGACCCACAGCTGACTTGGCTGATGCTTAAAAAAACTGTTAAAAGCGGCACAGGGTTAAGCATCGTAGCAACACACCTGCTCCACTCCTGACCCAGACACCACAGCTGACTTGGCTGATGTGCTGCGGTGCTTGGCCTTGCCCTTGCGGATCTGAGCGCGGTGGAGAGAGAGGCGAGAGGGTGGAGGGTGGTGGAGAGAGGTAGAGAAAGGTGAAGCGGTAAAAAAGGATGCAAAGAGTGGCGAGGGATGCGGAGAACAGTGCGGCATGTAAAATATAGGTTCAAGCACCATTCACTAGTGTGGGGAGTGCGGGCAGTGGGGACACAACCCTGTGGGCAGCATGAGTAGGGTGAGCAGTGTCTGGGCAGTGTGGGCAGTGTGGGCAGTGTGGGCAGTGTGGGCAGTGTGGGCAGTGTGGGCAGTGTGGGCAGTGTGGGCAGTGTGGGCAGTGTGAGCAGTGTGGGCAGTGTGGGCAGTGTGGGCAGTGTGGGCACTCACCTCCCTGGCGAGGTCGCGGCCACTCTCTTCACAGATCTGCAGCATGGCCTCCGTTGGCTGGCACCCAGGGGGCAGAGGGATGGGATGGAAGAGAGGGCGGGACGAGAAAGAGGGGTTGGGAAGTGAGCCCCAATACACCACCCACCCAACACGCCCCTCCCATCCCAAAGCCTTCAGAAGCAGATTTTACCCCAAAAGCTGCCACCGCCAACAAAGCACTCGCGTCCCTCCCTGCTCACCTTGAACTTGCAGCGGATGGGAGGGAATCCAAAGGAAAACCCTCCATCTTTGAGCAGCTGCTCCATCTCATCAACAGCCTCCCCGCTCCACCCAAACGACCCAAACACGCCCGTGGGCTTGCCCTTGGCGGCGGGCTCGTTGAGAATGACGCCCAGCGCCTCCTTCATGGGCGTGGGCATGTGGCCGCCCAGCGTGGGGCTGCCACACACGAAGCCGCAGCAGCGCTGGATGGCGGACTTGAGCTCGGCTACTGAAGCCATCTCACAGTTGATTGTCTCCACTCCCACCCCTGCTCGCAGCAACCCACGGCTGGGGCGAGGAGAGGGGGCGGGGGAAGGGGGGAGGTGGGGCGGGGGCGGGGGAGAGGGGAGAGGGGACGTAAGGGTTGGGTGTTCGGGCTGAAGGAGCCGATTGTTCACTGGATGGCGGATTTAAGCTTCGCCACTGATGCCATCTCACAGTTGATTGTCTCCACTCCCACCCCTGCTGGCAGCAACCCACGACTGGCGGAGCAGGGTGGAGGGCGCGGAGAAGGGAGAGGGGAGGGAAGGGGAGGGGACGGAGAGGGAAAGGAGGAGGTGGGGTGAGGAAGAGGAGGGTTATGGTGGAGGTTGAGAGTGGAGGAAGGAAACACTTGTTCAAGTGCCTCACACAGCTCGTAGCTGCAGCAGCGCTGGATGGCGGACTTGAGTTCGGCTACTGACGCCATCTCACAGTTGATCGTCTCCACTCCCACCCCTGCCTGCAACAACCCGGCGAGGTGAGGGGAACAGGGAGGGGAGAGGGGAAGGGGCACGGGGGAAGAGGGTAATGGGTGAGGGAAAAAAGGTGGGCGTTTTCAGGTTGTCCTATCGCCATTTTTAGACTGTCTCAACCCTGACTTGGGGGTTTGGGGAGCTTAGGCTACCTGATGAGCATGTGCAAGGGGGAAGAAGAAGGTGCTACCTGATGGCTTGTGAGAGGATGATGGGAGGTGTTACCTGATGCGCTTGGGAGAGGATGATGGACGGTGGTACCTGATGGCTTGTGCGAGTGCGGAGGTGTTGCCATAGGCTGATGCATAGAACACGGCCACTGTGGCCTCCTCCGCCTGCTTGATCTTCTCGTCCGTCCACTGGAGGGGGCGGGGGAGGGAGAGAGAGCAACCAGGGCCGGTCGGATGTCAAAATGGAAAGGTGGAGGCCAATACAGATTGGAAGAAGGTTCAAGGAAGAAGCAGGCAAGATTAAGAATGTCGCTCCCCCTTCTCCAACCCTAGCAGCACTGTGGCTTTTAGAGCACCCTGATGAAACCCCCCCAATTCTCGCTGCCTCTCACGGACCCCCACGTACTGTACCCCCCCATCTGATTACTGCCTGCCTCCAACAAATCTCCACATACAATTTTGTACAAGCGCACAAGCTCTGTCACGCTGATGCGGATGATAGGGCTGTGCAGGGGGCAGATGGTCGCTGTCACCAGCGGCTCGCCCCCGATTCCTGGAACGGCGCCCTTCCTAACGCGCTGCCCCTAGCGTCCTGAACAGCCCTTCTCTACCTTCTTTCCGCCCTTACTGTCAGAGCCCAAACCTCCAACTCACAATTTTGTACTCGCGCACGAGCTCAGTGACGCTGTTGCGAATAATCGGTCCGTGCAGGGGGCAGATGGCTGCTGTCACCAGCGGCTCCCCTCCCACTCCCGGCACGGCGCCCTTCTTATTGCTGCCCACTTTCAGACGCAGGTTGGCTGCTGTGTTGATGTCGAGGTTGAGGGCTGAGAGGAGGCGCGAGAAGATGAACCCCACGTCCGCCTGCGGGGGCATCGGGAGGGGTGGTGGTGGTGGAAAGGGCGCGCGTGAAGGGGTAAGTTAAGGGGAAATGGAACGGGCATGATGGCCCTCAAAAGGTTCTTGAGGAGCCATGACGGAGGTTGGGAAAATTGGGGGGGTGGGGGACAAGGTGGATTCTTAGTCAACTCAAAGCCGGAGACAGACATATCAGCTCGAGTGCAGCGCAGCGGACAGCGGTAACCAGGTCCAGACACGGTGTGGTAACCACCAGCTCACCTTGACGACGCCCAGGCCTGTCTTGCCCGCGTAGCAGGGAGGCGCGAACTGGGCCACCACTGGAAGCTTGTTGTTGGGTGCTGCATGTACTCTTGAGTCGACACAAAACACACATAGTAGCAACGCAATGCAGCGCAGCGGTAATCACCAGCTCACCTTGACGACGTCCAGGCCTGTCTTGCCCGCGTAGCAGGGAGGCGCGAACTGGGCCACCACTGGAAGCTTGTTGTTGGGTGCTGCATGTACTCTTGAGTCGACACAAAACACACATAGTAACAGCGCAATACAGCGCAGTGGTAACCACCAGCTCACCTTGACGACGTCCAGGCCTGTCTTGCCCGCGTAGCAGGGAGGCGCGAACTGGGCCACCACTGGAAGCTTCTTCAGGGCTGCATCCACCTGGGAGGGAAACGGCAGGGAGGGGAGGATGACGAGTTACGAGGGCTGAGAGGTACAGTCGAGGGGAAGGGGGGTTTAGAGGAGGAGAGAGAGGGGGGCTGAGAGGGTGACGGTGAGAAGGGTGAACCAAAGGGTGACGGTGTGTTTGAAGGTGAGGGAGTGGGGATGAGGGTGTGGGGGATGGCAGGAGGAGCACATGAGCTTGGTGACAGAGCATGAGCCAGAGACAAGAGCACATATGCCAGGGGCGGGCACACAAGCGTACCTGCTTGGCGACGGGGGCGAGCATGCAGTCATAGAAGTAGCGCCAGTGCATGTCGTACACCTCTATGCCTCCCACGTCAAAGTCCTCCCCCTTGCACACATGCGCGCTGCATTGACGGAGTGGTGGAGAGGGGTTGAGCGGGGTGGAGTGGGGGGTGGGGGAGAAGGGGGGACAAAAGTGGGGAGAGGGGGGGAAGCGTGAGAGTGTGGGTGTGAGAGCGTGAGTGTGCATCCTTCTATGCTGCCCACAACAAAGTCCTGACTCATGCATACGCGGATAAGCGCGCTTGAGTAAGGCCAAAGCTGAAGCGCGCACACGTGATGAGCAGTTCAGTCTTGGGCTCATTCATAGGTAGTGCGACCGTGAGGCCAGCGGGGCGTGGGCGCGGGGAAATAAAGGAGGGAGGGAGCTTACTGGTGAAGGGACACACAAACCTGAAGAGCCTATTGGTGACATGACAAGGCACCTGGACCAGACCTGAAGAGCCTATTGGTGACATTACAAGGCACCTGGACCAGACCTGAAGAGCTTGTTGGTGAATAGCAGCTGCGTCTTGGGGTCGTAGGTGGAGAGCCCATCAGGCCAGCACGGCGTGGGCGTGGGAAGAGGAGGGGAAGAGAGCAGCGAGCATACTTGTTACAAGGCATCCGGACCTGAAGAGCTTGTTGGTGAAGAGCAGCTGCGTCTTGGGGTCGTAGGTGGAGAGCCCGTCGGGCCAGCGGGGCGTGGGCGTGAGGATGAACTGCAGCTTGTGCCCGTCGCCCAGGTCCAGCGTGTCCCCCGCACGCACGATCTGCAGGTCAAACGTTGCCTCAAGAATGTCTGCCGGCACCAACGAGGTGAGAGTCTGGTGCGCCGGGTTCGACAGGAACACCTTGATGGGCGGCTCTGGTGAGCAAGGAGGGGAGGGGGTGTGAAGGGGGATGTGGGGGACTAAGTTGCAAAATACGCTTATAGCGTATATATGCTTATCGTACATACGCTAGCGTATATAAGCTATCCGCTTAGGGGGCGATTTGGACATACGCTTTTTCGGGCAGGGAAAAAACTTCCCCGGGCAGGGCAAAAACAGCCGCCAGGGCTGTTATAGGGGGGAATCTAGGGTGTTATGTTTCAGAGGTGATATTTTTACCCCACAATTAGATTGCAACTCCTACACACATTACTACATAATACTCTCCTAGGGTGTTATTCCACAATTTTTTTAGGTCGGGCTGCCCCAAAAAAATATTTGCCAGCGTTTAGCGTATTTGCTGGTGTTTAGCGTTTAGTGTGTAAACGCCAGCGTATATCTGCTAAACGCAAAGGGTCTCAAGCGGTTTTTGCAACTTAGGTGGGGGAGGAGGGAAACGGGAAAGGGGGAGGGGGCGGGGAGGGGAGGAGGCATGGGAACGGATTGGGCATGTAGTGTAGAGGGGTCACAGAGTCATGCAGCTTGTGCCCGTCGCCCAGGTCCAGCGTTTCCCCCGCGCGCACGATCTGCAGGTCGAACGTGACTTCCAGGATGTCTGCTGGCACCAGGGAAGTGATCGTCTGGTGCGCCGGGTTGAAGAGGAACACCTTGACGGGCGGCTCTGGGGGGGTAGGGTTGAGGGAGGGGCGAACCCGGGAAGTTGGGGGGGGGGCGGGGAAGAGGCATCTTAGCGTTCTTAGCCTCTCGCACAAACGCGAGCACGAACGCCGTGCGAGAGTCACAAGGCTCAACACTCACCTGTTCGCGGGTGCGTCTTGGCGAGCTGAATAATACTATCCACGCGCTTCGGACTCAGATGCCCGATGATAACGTACGCCAGGTGCTCTGCACCTTTCACTTCCCAAACAAACGCGTCCACGAAGGCGCGAGCGAAGGCCCTGTCGGGCGCGGCGCTCATCGACGTAGCTGTTCTCCGTGGTGCCTTAGCAAACCACTCACTCACTCCCTCACTCATTCTCTCACTACTCGCCCCCTGACTCACTCACCGCCTGCTGGGTGCGTCTTGGCTAGCTGAATCACACTGTCCACGCGCTTGGGACTCAGATGTCCAATAATCAGATACGCCAGGTGCTCCGCATCTTTTGCTTCCCGAACAAACGCGTCCACGAAGGCGCGCGCGAAGGCCCTGTCGGGCACGTCGATGAGCGCGGCGCCCAGAGGCCCCTCGATGACGTAGCTGTTCTCGGTGGTGCCGGCGCGCAGCCCGTACTCCACCTCGAACTTGAACCGCTCGTAGCACCGCCCGCGCAGCGTGAACGTGTCGTCCGTCAGCCGCACCGTGCGCACGTCCTTCTCCTGCCGGGGGGGAAGGGGGAGGGCGGGAGGGGGGATGGGTGGTTGGAGGAGGGCGCAGGGAGGAGGGGAGGGAGAGGGGGAGGGAAGGAGGGTAGACAGCAAGGCGGACGGGGGAAGAGAAAATCTCGTCTGTTACGCGCATCAACCGCACGTCGTCCTCCAGAGCAACTCAAGAAAGTGAGAGGATGGGCGAAGACGGTGGTGTGGAACCAAGGCTTTCCCTAAGAACAGCTTCTTGAGAACGGCGTCTTGAGAACGACGTCTTGAGAAACCCACACGACATCCGGTTTGGTTGACATGGAAATTGACACTGCGCCCACCCCAAAGGACAGTCGCTCTCGTGCTTCTTGCATATCTAGCTCGCTCTCAGCAGCATCAGGTGTTCCACGCTTTCAGCAGGCACTTTTTACTGACCTCTTTAACGATCGGTGCCTCTGGCTGCTGTTGTGCGACGGCTGCTCGTACCCCCAACACCCTCTTCCTCTGGTTCTGCCTCTGCTTCTTTCCCGCGTTGCACTGCACTCGCACCGCATGTTGCACATTGAGGGCGGAATCGGAAAAAATGCGGGAGTTAGGCAAGTCGGACAGGATACAGTGGAACGAGCGCATTCGCTGTGAAAACAAGGGACTAAGTTCTCAGAATATAGTCGTCACGTAACGCTAGCGTAAGAGAAGCCAGCGACTACTTGTTAAGGTAACAACTTATGGCGACCGTGCCAACCAATCAGGTTACATAGGGTAACCATAGATCAATCACCTCAGGTAAAATGGCAGCAGAGGAGGCGGTGTGCGCCGGCCGGCGCAATTGATGCAGGCCTGTATGTGACGGGAACAGACTGGCGCTTGCGCTGGTAGAGGATGTCGCATTTGCCTGTAATGCGGATGGCACGGAAAGCGCGCCGCTGGCGGCAGGCGCGCAGCAGAGCTGAGACGCCATCTGGTCAGGCGAGCAGCGGTCGAGCAGGGGGAGAGCAGGAAGTGAGTACGGGTTCAGCAAGGAAATACACGAAAGAGCAACAGGGGGAAGGTAGTGAATGAAATTGTATGGCGTGGCTCACGACCTTCGATAACGCAAATTCTGCATCGAGTGGATTTCGGAACGATGGAAATGGGAAGGGAGTCGCGAATGAATCAACCACGAAATTGTGGCGAAATTGGATTTTCTATGTTGATGCGGAAAATTAGCAAAAAAATCATTCAAAGGAAGCCTACGTGTGTCGAATGCCATGGCATTAGCCTGAAGACTACCCGAACAATCAGTATATTCTCTAAGCCACAACCATAGCAACAATGAGACGGCAAAAGGCAGCCATACGTGGACTGCAACACCTGACGACACGACATCTCTGTACCTTTGGACGTCAGGCAAGGCTGAAAGTAAGCTGAAACGCCTTGTAAGCTAAGAAATGCTGGCTAATCCCCGTCCTACTACAAGCCAGGAAAATGACGACTGTGAAATGTGAGCTGTGCTAAGAAATTGTTTTCTTGGAGCTTCGAGAGAGGAGTGAGGAAAGGCAAGCCACCATAAGCCCCATCCGTCTCACCATGCCATTCCATGCCACCTCTCTGCTCTGGTTCCTGGAATGTGGAAGAATCGAGGAGATGACTTCGAGGAGATGGACCACCTCGTGGCATGTGAGAGTCATTGAACGGCCGATGCTTTGCCAGCTGGACACCAGGGCAGACTGCTGCGTCAACGCGCACGATGGTGACGTGAGACCCTGCTTGTCGGTACAATACAAAGCTGAGTGGTCGTGTAACTTTCGCAAGCATAAACAATTGACGTACAGTAATGTCGATATATAAGAAGGAAAAAGACTTAGGGCGGTAGCAGAATATACAGCTGACTGCCCACAGTAGGGCCACAAACTCTTTAGCCGTGTTAGACCAGGTAAAGGGCCGGGAAACAAGGATGTAAACATAATAGGCTCAGTGAGAGAGCCGCACTCTGTACACTGCATGGCATTTGAGCACTATAAAGGGTGGCGGCAGCAGGGACAGCTTGAATGCCCTCCCATAATCCACGGCATAATGCAATCATGGTGGAAACCATGTGCACATGGTAACCACATCAGACGAGCTCCTTTCCCCATGCTTTCCAAACACACAGTGCACTCCTGTCCATCCGTGATACCCATAAACTCATCCTCATCTCCCTCAGTATCGCTTCCTGCATCGCCAGCAGTGCAACTGGAAAAAACAGCCTTCCCTTTCCCCTTGTGCGAATCAAATTTGCCAGAATCAGAAAGAGCCAAACGTCGTATGCCATCACACGCATTGTCAACAGCATCACCAGCTGCAAATCCAACAAAATCAGATCCTGCACCCATGTTCCTATCGCCCACTGTGCTGCTGCCACCGATCCCGTCGCCAACCCCACTAGAGCCATGACTACTGCTGCCTCTCCTGCTCCTACTACTCCTGCTGCTGCCGCTACTGCTGCCACTTTGATAATGCTGCTGATGGTGGTGGTGGTGTTGGTGATGGTGATGATGGTGGGGGTGCTGGTGCTGGTGCTGGTGCTGGTGGTGGCTGTGGCTGCTACCCCTGCTGGAACAAGAGCTGACATTTCTACTGCTGCTACTGCGCCGCTGATGCCTGCTGTGCTCTGCTTCCCTGCTCTCCCCACCAACGCGCCCACTGCTGCGCTCGTGACTGCTGCTGCTACTCTGGCCTCTGCTGTTGCTACCACTGCTGCTGCTGCTTACACCACTGATCCTGCTCCTACTGCTGCTACTGCTCGTGCTGCTGCTGCCGCTGCTTCTACTACTCCTGCTGCTCGTCTCACAGCCCCCACCATCGCGACCTCCAAGCCCAGAGTGCTCGTTAGCAACAGCGAGGCTCACTTTCCCGCTGCTTCCGCTCTTCCTCCTCGCACTCCTTCTGCTGCTGCTGCTCCCGCGTGCTTCAATCCTCTCCTGCTCATCAACCCTCCGCACTTCATTTCTTCCCCTCTCTCCTTCTTCTCCCCCTCCTCCTTCTCTGCTGCCACCGTCTCCCGATTGTGCTCCCATCCCATTCTGTGTAATACCCGGAAACGCCCTCCCTCGAGCAGTGTGATCGTTTGTAAACACCCTGTCAGCCGCCAGCAAGGCAGCTGATTGGACGACGCTGCTGGGAGTCAATACTGCAGCAGTCATCGTTGACCCTTCTGCCACGCGGCCGGGTGTTATTGGACGAGAGAAAGCTGCGGAAGTTGACCGCGGGGGGAGCCGCGGAGGCTCCTCTAGCGTGGGCGGACGGCGGAGCCCTGCTGCGCGTAGGCGCTGGTCCAGGCGCAGGCGCGCCTCCAGCGCGGGTCCCTGGTGCGGGGGGAGAGGAAACAGTAGGGGAGAAAATAACGAGAGTCGACGTCACACGGGGTGAAAAAAAAAAAAAAAAAAAAAAAAAAGGTATGAGAAATTGTGGAAGTAGCTTCGTTATTAGCAGCGAGCTGAAATCACAAATAACTTGGTCACGAACGCATAACTGCTCCTCGAAAATATTGGTTAAGTATCCACCTGAAGTGATTCGCGACGGCTCTGACTCGCTTCAAGCTGCCTCTGTCTCAATCGTTCTTTCCAAGAAAGCAACCCGGCGCGCTCAGCCGCACGATCGAGCCCTACGATGTCGCTGGACGGCCCTACATCGCTGGAAATACTATTCGCCGGCGCGGCTGAGATGGTACCGACAGCAGCTGTCGCGGCAATCTCGAGGTTCGTGCCGTCGGTGTTGGCTGTCCAGTGTTGCGACCGTGGCGACGTCGCGCTCCCTCGCACAGGATCGCACAACGCGTCGCCAGCGAGGATAAGCGACGTCCGGCCTCGGCTACGGTGGCGTCGTGCGGCAAGCGCGGAGAGATGTGACATTCGCGAAAGCACCGAAATGAGTCGACAGGCAGGCTGTAACGTGACCTAGACTAGAAACGGTGGCGGCCGGGAAAAGAAATAGGCTTGGGGTTCGAAGCGAAAGCACAAGTGAAGGATGACCAATGTGTGTGGCTCGGATGCGGTGCAGTGCGATGTAGAGTATATGAACGGAAATAATATGTAATAAGAATTTTTCATGGAAAATTCAATAGCAGCATTGTTCTTTTATGGTTACCTGCTATGTACTAGTTATTTTTCCAACTCATGTCAGGACATAGTATCCCATAGATGAAAGCACTATGTACACCGGTACTGGTGAGGTATATTTCAGTGCATTACAACATGGCTCGTAAACCACCAATCCTCGTTTGTTCCCACTGTTATACAATAGTACCATCCCTTGTACAGTTAGATGATCTTCCAATTGTTCTGCTAGGTGTTCGAACAGCTTTTCTCCACATCGCCTTACTTGTGCCGGTCATCAAACGGGTTGCCCAGTTTCATATTGATGTTGATGATGCTCCTCACCCACACCCACCCTCTCCTCCCCTCCCCTCTCTCTCTGTCTGCACTACCGAGCGTTACTTGTGCCGGTCGTCAAACGGGTTGCTCAGGTTCATATTGATGTTGATGCTGATGTTGTTGATGTTTCGAATCACACCTCCACCCTCTCCTCCCCTCTCCATGTCTGCAGCAGCACGGTCACTGGGACTGCTGCTGCTACGTGCACCGCCGCTGCTACGATTAGAAACACTGTAATGAGGCGGATTGGATAGAGTGTAGTTATGCGGATTAGAAGCACTGTACTTATGCAGACTTATGCTGGAGGAAGAGGGTCCACCAGCTTCCCTGGCAGCAGAAGCAGCAGGACCAGTACCAGCAGCACCAACACCACCAGAAGCAGACCCAGGAGCAGCACCACCAAGAGCAGCAGCAACAGCACTACCACCACCACCACCAGCAGCAGCAGAGGCAGCAGCAGGAGCAGCATCACTGACAGCCAGAAGGGCGCTGCGCTGATTGGCCTGCTTATGCCTGCTCCTCCTGCCACCGCCTGTTTTGGGTGCAGAGGACGACTGGCTGGCAACAGCAATGTGGTGCTGGCAGAGCAGAAAGCCCTCTCGTGCCATGCGCTTGCACACCCACCCCTTGCCGTCCGTCCTGCTGCACCTCCTGCCCACCCCCTGCCCGCTTGCGCCTGCCCCTGCTCCTGCTCCTGTTCCAGTTTCACCCGCCCTTGCTGCTCCAGGTGCACTTCCCACGCTCCCTCCTGCTGCGCCTGCTGTTCCTGCTGTTGCTGCTGTCGCTTCTGTGAGCCCTCCAGCTGCCCCTGTTCCTCGCCCTGTCCCTCTCCCTCGCCCTCCTCCCCCCTCTCTTCCACCCTGCAATCTTCCACCCACACCAGGGGGAGCATCAGCAGCAGCAGTTGCTGCTGGTGGCGACCGTGCTGCTGCAGCCGCAGCAACAGCCGATGCTCCTACCTCTGCCGCCGCTGCCGCCGCCGCTGCCGCTGCTGCCACTTCTGCCGCAGCAGACTGCAACGCAGCATTCGAAAGAAACGCCGATGCGCTAGCAGCTGATCCGGCCCTCCCAGCCGCCCAGATCACATCAGAGAGCCCCAGAGTGCCTCCTGCTGCTGCTCCTCCCGTGCCTGCTGCTGCTGCTGCTGCTGCAGCAGCAGCAGCTGAACCCGCCCTCCCAGCAGCCCTGAGTACATCAGAGAGCCCCAGAGCCAGCATAGCCGCGTCATCAAGCCGCACCTCCATGCCCCACCTGCTTCTGCTTCCTCCCTGCCCCTCGCCCCTGCCTGCCCCTCCCTGCCCTTCCCTCCTCTCGAATCCACTGCTTCCCAATGACGGCACAGAACCCCCAAAAGGAAAACTGCTGCCTCGAGCACCGGAATCGCTACCATCCCCCGCACCTCCTCCTCCTCCTCCACCTACTCCTAATCCTTCTCCTCTTATCCCCCATGTTGACTCTCCTATTCCTACATCCCCTCCTCCTCCCACACTTTGACTTACTCTGAGTCCACCCAGATGTTCCGCTAATCCTCCTCCTCCTGCTCCTCCCGATGCTGATTCCCCCCCTCTGCTCGCACTGCTATCCCCATGCAGGTAACCAGCGCCCGAGTGGAACAATGGAAGAGTGGCTGTTCTGACGTTGTGGTCACCACCCGCAAGGACTGAGGAAGCAGCAAGGCCAGAGGAAGCAGGAGGAGCAGGAGGAGCAGGAGAAGCAGAAGCAACAGCAGCAGCAAGATTGGTACAGATACCAGCACCGCTTGCAGCAGCACCAGTAACACCGAAACCAAGGGAACTGGCACCAACAGTGGCTGCGGCGGCCGCCGCCGCTGCAGCAGCAGCAGCAGGTGGCAAGGGTGGGACTCCTTGCAAGTCAAACGCAGCAGCAGAAGCACCAGCAGCAGCGGATGCAGAAGAAGGAGCAGCCGGGGTGGAAGCAGCAGCAGGGATGGGCGGCGAGGGAAGGCCTAGTGACAGCGAAGGGAGGGAGGAGGCAAACGATGGAGGGGCAGACTGGAGGAGGACTGGCCGCGTGGGAGAAGGGGAGAGTGGGGGAGAGAAGAGAGGCACGGGAGGAGGCGGGGCGGAAAATGCGTTGGAATCCGGGCGGGATTGGAAAGGGGCCCGTGGGGAGAGTGTTGCTGGCGCTGGGGGTGGGGGCGGGAAGAGGTAGGAGAGAGGGGATTGGTGAGGGGGTAGGGGTGGGAAGGGCAAGGGAAGAGGGGAGTGGTGTGGGATTGTGGGCGGGAAGAGCGAGGGGAATTGGTGTGGGGGTCGGGTTGGGAGGAGAGAAGAGGGATGGGGCTGGTGGGACCAGCCTGGATGGGAGAGTGCGTGCGTGGGGGGTGGAGGAAGGGGGAATGGAGAGTTGTCAAGAGGGGCACGTGATGATGGTAGTGGGGCAGAGCGAGAGAAGCCTGAGGGTGGATGGAGACTGCTTGCTACCGCTTCTGCTCTCTCCTCCTCCCGCCGCCGTTGCTGCTGCTGCTGCTGCAGTCTCACTCTGTGCCTAAGGTGCTCCAGGAACGGAGACTCAATGAGCTGAGCCGCACCCAGTCGTGCATCACGTGAGCTCGAGTCAAAGTGTTGCAGCAATTGCTCCAAGCTGTGAGTCGGCTCTGCCCTTCCTTCTGCTGCTGCAGTCGCTGCTGCGGCTGCTGCTGATGCTGCTGCAGCTGATGAACCACCAGCGCTTGCAGTAGCAGCAACAGCAACAGCAGCTGCCGCATTTGCAACCGGGGGAGCAGCAGCCACAGCAGCACCTGCTTCACGAACATTCCCATCCACACTAAAAGAAGAAGCGGCACCAGCAAAACGTGCAGCTGATGCTACATCAGTGCTGGTGCCTCTCCCTGAAGTGACTGCTGTTGCGCCTTCTGCCAGTAACCCTCCTCCCTGTCCCATCAAGCGCCCCTGCCCTGCTACTATCAATCCCTCCCCTTGCACGACCATTTCCTTTCCTGTTGATAAACTCCCGCCCAGAGTCAGGGCAAGACCTTCGTCCTCAGCCAATCCCAATCCGCCACGTGTCCCACTCACCCCACTGTTCAGATGCGCCACCTGCTTCGCAAGCTGGTGGGTTGCTGCCCCACCGCCATAGAAGCCCCACCTCTCCGCGTCACTCCCCTCCCCCTCTCCACTCCCCTTCCCCCCTTCACCACCCCACCTGTCTGTCTTACCCCTCTCATCCTCCCCACCCCCACCAGGGTCCCACCGTTGCAACTTCCCCCTATCACTTCTCCACCTCTCCTCTGTCCTCCCGCTACCCCCTGACCCCTCGCCCCCTCGCTCTCCCTCTCCCACTCGCTGCTCCAACCCCTCTGCCTCACGCAGGGTAGCCCTGCTGGTGGGGTAGCCCTGGTGAAACAGCTCCAGGGCTACCCCACCAGCACCACCACTGCTGGTAGCAGCAGCAGCAGCAGCAGCAGCAGCAGCAGCAGTAGCAGCAGTAGCAGCAGCAGCAGCAGTACCACCACCAACACCACCACCACCACCACCACCACCACCACCACCACCATCGCCACCACCAGGAGCAGCAGCAGCAGCAGCAGCAGTAGCGGCAGTAGCAGCAGCACCACCACTACTGGCAGTACCACCAGCAGTAGCGGCAGCAGCACCAGCAGCACTAGACACAGCTGTACTATCACCCTGCTCTTCTGCTGTTCCACCAACCACACCGACTCCAGTTCGTTGCATCTGGACGTCTGCCCGGTTCCTCACAGCACTCGTACCCCTTACAAACCGCCCTGATAAATCGCCAAGTGACTGTCCTTCTCTCGGGTACATTCGTATCGCATCACCTCCGATCAACTGGCGCCTTTCAAGCGCATCGGATCCTAACAAGCGCCCTGGTATATGATGCTCTGCTCCAATCGAGTAGCCTACTACTGAACTATCTCCTATCGATTGCGCTACTATTGGCCCCCCGCGTATAGGTTGCCCTAGTATACAGTGCCCTCGTGTAGACTGCTCTAGTACTATCACGTCAGCTCCTATTGAATGCGCTGGTATAGGTTGCCCAACTATCGCGTCCGTTCCTAATGAATGCGCTGGTATACGCTGCTCAACAATCACGTCCGCTGCTAAGGGCCGCCCGCCATGCTGCCGGTGCCAGCTGGCGGTGAGCATGAGGTCCATCTGAGCCAGAGGGCTCACATCTCCTCCTCCTCCTCTCCTCTGCTGCTCATGATGCGTTACCTCATCATGCGCGGCTGAGGGGAAGTTCGGACCCGTCTCAAACCGCGATAGCCTCCGCTGCTGCTCATGATGGGTTTGCTCATTATGGGTTGGCTCATCCAGCGCGGTTGAGGGAAAGGGGGGTGCTAACGCCGTTCTTGTACCACTCTGTATGAAGGGAACATGGCTCATAGTTTCGACCTGCTGTGCCGTTTGAGTCATCTCACGGTTCGTCAGGCGGAATGGGGACAGAAAATTTGCCCCTTCTGCTGCCCCTTCTCCTGCCCCTTCTCCTGCCCCTCC